GACTGCCTCGCCTGGTTCACCAACTACTTCTCAGATAGAGTTCAATGTGTCAAATCGGAGGGCCTGTTGTCTGGACCTCTGGCAGTCTCTATGGGGGTGCCACAGGGTTCAATTCTGGTTCAGACTCTATTTTCTGTGTATATCAATGATGTCGCTCTTGCTGCTGGTGACTCTCAGATCCACCTCTACGCAGACGACACCATTTTGTATACATCTGGCCCTTCATTGGACACTGTGTTAACATACCTCCAAACGAGCTTCAATGCCATACAACACTCCTTCCATAGCCTCCAATTGCTCTTTGACGCTAGTAAAACTAAATGCATGCTCTTCAATCGAACGCTGCTTGCACCCCCCCGCCCGACTAGAATCACTACTCTCGGCGGGTCTGACTTAGAATATGTGGACAACTACAAATACCTAGGTGTCTAGTTAGGCCGTAAACTCTCCTTCCAGACTCACATTAAGCATCTCCAATCCAAAGTTAAATCTAGAATCAGCTTCTTATTACATTTACATTTTAGTCATTTAGCAGACGCTCTTATCCAGAGCGACTTACAGTTAGTGAGTGCATACATTATTTTGCAACAAAGCCTCCTTCACTCATGCTGCCAAACATGCCCTCGTAAAACTCACTATCCTACCGTTTCTTGACTTCGGCGATGTCATTTACAAAATAGCCTCCAACACTCTACTCAGTAAATTGGATGTAGTCTATCACAGTGCCATCCTTTTTGTCACCAAAGCCCCATATACTACCCACCATTGTGACCTGTACGCTCTCGTTGGCTGGCCCTCACTACATATTCGTCGCCAAACCCACTGGCTCCAGGTCAAATCACTGCTAGGCAAATCCCTGCCTTATCTTAGCTCATTGGTCACCATAGCAACACCCACCCGTAGTCTGCGCTCCAGCAGGTATATCTCACTGGTCATCCCCAAAGCCAACACCTCCTTTGGCTGTCATTCCTTCCAGTTCTCTGCTGCCAATGACTGGAACGAACTGCAAAAATCTCTGAAGCTGAAGACTCTTATCTCCCTCACTACCTTTAAGCATCAGTTGTCAGAGCAGCTTACCGATCACTGCACCTGTACACAGCCCATCTGTAATTAGCCCACCTAACTACCTCATCCCCATATTGTTATTTATTTTGCTCATTTGCACCCCAGTATCTCTATTTGCACATCATCTTCTGCACATCTATCACTCCAGTGTTAATACTAAATTGTAATTATTTTGCACTCTGGACTATTTATTGCCTTACCTCCATAACTTACTACATTTGCACACACTGTATATAGATTTTCTATTGTGTTATTGACTGTATGTTTTGTTTATCCCATATGTAACTCTGTGTTGTTGTTGTTTTTATCGCACTGCTTTGCTTTATCTTGGCCAGGTCGCAGTTGTAAATGAGAACTTGTTTCCAACTGGCCTACCTGGTTAAATAAAGGTGAAATACAAAATTAAAAATTAAAACACCTTTTAATTGAAATGCATTCCAGGTGACTACCTCATGAAGCTGGTTGAGAGAATGCCAAGAGTGTGCAAAGCTGTCATCAAGGCAAAGGGTGGCTACTTTGAAGAATCTCAAATATAAAATGTATTTGTTTAACACTTTTTTGGTTACTACATGATTCCATATGTTTTATTTCATAGTTTTGATGTCTTCACTGTTATTGTACAATGTAGAAAATAGTATAAAATAAAGAAAGAAAATGAATAGGTGTGTCCAAACTTTTGACTGGTACTGTACATCAGTCCATGGAGGAGCCTAGTGTCTGCAGTTATTTTTCTTTCAATGAAGACCTAGACAACCAGGTGAGGGGGGTTCCTTACTAATTAGTGGCCTAAATTATATATATGAGAGAGAGAGAGAGAGAGAGAGAGAGAGAGAGAGAGAGAGAGAGAGAGAGAGAGAGAGAGAGAGAGAGAGAGAGAGAGAGAGAGAGAGAGAGAGAGGACATTATCCTTCATTGGACGGACTGGCAGATCAATATTTATTGGAGTGGTGTGTTCTGTTATGCTGTGAGAGCAGCACATTCTGTACGTCTGTGTGTGTGTTTGTGTTTGTGTGTGTGTTTGTGTTTGTGTGTGTGTGTTTGTGTTTGTGTGTGTGTGTGTGTGTGTGTGTTTGCTATGCTAGCTTAGCAGCATGCTGTAAATGCCACCAGCTGAAGGCCAATATCAGAAACAGCAGGGACAGAGGAAGTCCAAAGGAGGCCTTTGATTTATCGAATCTAGTCCCCATACTGCAAGGCTCTTACAATCACAATCTCTCTCCATTGGTCCAGTGAGTCAGCAGTGCCTTGGAAGACACTGGTGATATTCCTCTCCCCTCTCTCTCCTTTATTCCTTCTGTTCTCCTCTCTTCCTTCTCCTTCTCCTCCCCTCTCCTCCTTCTCCTCCCCTCATTCTCCTCCTCTCCTCCTTCATTTCTCCTTCTCCTCCCCTCTCCTCCTTCTCCTCCCCTCTTTCTCCTCCTCTCCTCCTTCATTTCTCCTCCTCTCCTCCTTCTCCTCCTTCTCCTCTCCCCTCTTCTCTCCTCCTTTCCTCCCTCCTCCTCCTCTCATTAGGTCTCTCTGGTGTCCCTGAGAGAGAGAGTCAACCTTTCTGTGTCTCTAATTTCAGACACTTTAATGAGATTCTTAATTGGTGACCTTTAGAGAGCGGGACCGACGGTGGCACAGTTGATCAATGCTCTCACTCCGGGGGGAGCCAGACAGAGCTAGTGACACTGCTTAATACACACTATCGACCCAGCCACCCTTCAGCACAGTTCACTTCAGAGTGGACAGAGTTTAGTTAGATCTTAGATCATTGGTCACCATAGCAACACCCACCCCTAGTATGCGTTCCAGCAGGTATAGCTCACTGGTCATCCCCAAAGCCAACACCTCCTTTGGCTGTCATTCCTTCCAGTTCTCAGCTGCAAATGACTGGAACGAACTGCAAAAATCTCTGAAGCTGGAGACACTTATCTCCCTCACTAACTTTAAGCATCAGTTGTCAGAGCAGCTTACCGATCACTGCACCTGTACACAGCCCATCTGTAATTAGCCCACCCAACTACCTCATCCCCATATTGTTATTTACATTGTTATTTATTTTGCTCATTTGCACCCCAGTATCTCTATTTGCACATCATCTTCTGCACATATATCATTCCAGTGTTAATACTAAATTGTAATTATTTTGCACTATGGCCTATTTATTGCCTTCCCTCCATAACTTACTAAGTTTGCACACACTGTATATAGATTTTCTATTGTGTTATTGACTGTATGTTTTGTTTTTGTTTATCCCATATGTAACTCTGTGTTGTTTTTATCGCACTGCTTTGCTTTATCTTGGCCAGGTCGCAGTTGTAAATGAGAACTTGTTCTCAACTGGCTTACCTGGTTAAATAACGGTGAACATGTGTTTTAGCTAACTCCTCTCTGCCGTGCTCATAGTATGACCGTCACAGACATTGTAGTTAGCTAAAGCCTAGGCTACAAAAAGAGAGCTACTTTATAATACCATGTCTTCAATGAGTTCATAGTTTTTGCTTCTCTAGTTTTGAAGTATTTAAAAAAAACTATTCTGTCCCACTGTAGGTGTTTGACACACAACTAGTCTAACTGAAAGAGTAGGACTATGGAACCGTCTCTGTCTGGGACTGGTGTTAAGTATTCTATGATAGCTGACTTAGTGTAAAGTGTTCTGTGATGACATTGATCATGTAAGTAGAGAACTTCTTTAGTCCTGTTTTATCTAACTGACAGACAGACAGACAGAGCGACTGACAGACAGACAGACAGACAGACAGACAGACAGACAGACAGACAGACAGACAGACAGACAGACAGACACTGATAGACAGACAGGGAGTATATTGGGACAGACACACAGACACACACACACCGAATTTAGCCCTGGCATCTTGGTAGGGGGGCCGGCCGTTGCCCACTGATCAGCCAAAGGCTCATTATAGATTAGTATAACATAAAAATTGTAAACATTTTGTTTTTTGCTAAATTAAACAGGACCATTGGTCGCTGACATTTTCATGAACTAATTAACTTTTGTGTGGGTGGGGAGGGGGGTGTATGATGGGGTGTTGTGTCAATTGAGTCTATGTATTTATTTGGAAGCAGCAGCACTCTGTCCAAGTCAAATTTCACCTCGGGGACAATAAAGTATATAATATCATCATATAATATATCCAGTCTACATCAGATTTAGGTAACACTTTATTTAGATAGTCTGTAGAGCATCTACATATGGACTATCTACAGACTATCAGTAACATTTCAACTAACTATCTACTAACCCTAACCCTAACCTTAACCCTTATCCTAACCCTAAACTTAACCTTTACCCTAACCCTTACCCTAACCCTTATTCTAAACCTAAACCTAATCTTAACCCTTACCCTAACCCTTATTCTAAACCTAACCCTAACCTTAGCAAGCAGTTGCTTATCAACAGATAGTTTGTTGATAGTATGACCGTTTGTAGAGCATCTACAGATGGAAAATCCATATTATCCAAATAAAGTGATGACCGAGATAATTATTATATATATATTTTTTTGGTCATTTAGCAGACGCTCTTATCCAGAGCGACTTACAGTTAGTGAGTGCATACATTATTTTTATTATTATTATTATTTATTTATTTTTTATTATTATTATTATTATTATTATTTTACCAACTGAGCTACATCCCTGCCGGCCATTCCCTCCCCAACCCTGGACGACGCTGGGCCAATTATGCGCCGCCCCATGGGTCTCCCGGTCGCGGCCGGCTATGACAGAGCCTGGATTAGAACCAGGATCTCTAGTGGCACAGCGACCACTGCGCCATTGTATTTCTACCCCATGTGTATTTCTACATCAGATCTAACCATTCTATTTCTACCCCATTGTATTTCTACATCAGATCTACCCATTGTATTTCTACCCCATTGTATTTCTACATCAGATCTACCACATTGTATTTTTAAGTGGGTTTCTTACCTGGGTGAGATGTCACATCCCTGCTGCATGAAGGCTCCCAGGGAGAACCAGAGAGAGTTGAAGATGCCAAACTCATTGGTCTGCTCCTGATTCTGCTGGTTCTGGCCTTGCTGACCAGAGCTCTGCCCCGACTGTAACTCAGCACCGGGACCAGTCGGCTGGGTAGGGGTCTGGGGGTCGGCCCCCTCCTCATAGTCCTCTGCGTGCCACTCATAGGGGCTGAAGCGGCTCACCAGGAACAGGACCACGCTCACACCGATGTAGGCGAACACGATACACATCCAGATCTCATAGGCCAGTGGGTCCAGGAAGGAGAAGACACCTGGTTTAGACTTGGTGGGCTTCTTGATCATGATGGAGATTCCCAGAGACATGAAGGGCTTGGAGAAGTCGATCACCTCTTCTCGGACCAGGGTGATGGTCAGCGGGGCTACCGCCACGTCTGCTTTCTGGAGGAGAGAAGGGTAGGAACAGAGGGAGAGAGAGAGGAAGGGAAGGAGGGAGAGAGGTAGAGAGGGAGGGAGGGAGGGGAAGAGAGACATGTTAGCAATAAATATTTGAGTTGTGCTGTCACCTTTACCATGAACTACACTCAAGCAGAGAAAATATTCAAAAGAATAGAATATAACAAGGTGTATACAGATGTAGGATCTTCATTTGAGCCAGTTTGCTACAGCAGGAAAATAATTCTGCAGCAACAGGAAATGTGAATTATTATGTGGATTATAATTAATGGATATTTTCTGTAGGGGTTGATACATTTTTCTTTAGGGCAAATCAAGTCTGACATTTTAAAGTGGAAATTACAAACTTTAGAAGCCTTTTTAAACCTTAAATACACACTACAAGTTTGCATTTCCTGCTGTGCAGGAAAATTCTCAGCAACAAAATATTGATCAAATTAAGATCCTACATCTGTAAATAAAAACATGTTTTCTACATCAGTAAATACATCTGTAGAGCTAGATACTGTCCAGTACAGTAGGTGTGCTGGAGGACAACAAAGAAGGAGAGGAAATACTGTAAGTATTATATATACAGCATAAGGCTGAACACACAGAAACTTTATTAAATAGGAAAACACACAAATCCTGACCTTAATCTCCTGTTACCCTGTTCTCCCCCCCCTCACACCCACACCCATCTCCCCATAGCATCACAAAGAGCCTTTTAACAGCAGGTATCGGCACCATGGTGTCCAAGGGGTCCTCTATGGATGTGTTGTGTGTGTATTGTGGATGTGTGTGGGGGGGGAGCTGTGGTGTTTTTTGTTGGAGTTTGGTGTGTATGTGGGCAGATTGCAGGAGATGGGGCCTAAGAGTTGTTCTTTAGTTACAGTAAATAAACGTAACCTCCCCGTCAGCTCCTGAGTCACGACCAGAGAGAGAGAGAGAGAAGGGGGGAGAGAGAGGAAGAGAGAGAGAAGGGGGGAGAGAGAGAGATAGAGAGAAGGGGGGGAGAGAGAGAGAGGAGAGAGAAGAGAGAGAGAGAGAAGAGAGAGAGGAGAGAGTCTCTACATCTCCTCTTCTCTCTCCTACCCCTCCCTCCCTCCCTCCCTCCCCCCTACCTCCCCGCCATAACAGACCAAATAAATAAGTTTCACGCCCTGGCTCTGGGGACTCTTTATGTTGAGCCAGGGTGTGTAGGTTTCATTGTTTTGTTTTCTATGTTGTGTTCTAGATCGTTTAGATCTATGTTGGCCAGGGTGGTTCCCAATCAGAGGCAGCTGTAGCTTGTTGTCTCTGATTGGGAACCATACTTAGGCAGCCTGCGGGCATGTTACTTTGTGGGATCTTGATCCGAAAGGTTTGTGTTATGACCTAGGACTTCACGTATCGTTTCGTTTATTGTTTTGGTTCGTGTTGTGTACACTCAATAAAGGATGTACGCCTATCACGCTGCGCCTTGGTCCGCATCTGTCGACGATCGTGACAGAAGATCCCACCTCGACTGGATCAAGCAGCGTGACGAGGAGAGAGGATGGACCTGGGAGGAGATGAGTGAGAGTCTGGCAAGAGGGATGGAGGCCATGAGCACGGGGGAGAGACAAGCCCCAAAAAATTTAGGGGGGGGCTCACGCCGTGGACGACGAGGCAGCGGGAGGCCGCGATAGAGCGGTTCAGCAGGTTGGCAGAGGAGGCCGCCAGGTTACGGGGGCCACTGGTCACGAGGGAGAAGGATAGTGTGGAGGCACGGCGAGAGGAACTGAGTAGGCAGCAGAGGGAGCAGAGGTTTATGAGGAAACCCAGTCCCGCTCCTCGCACCAAGCAAGTGGTGTGTGTCACCAGTCCGGTCCGGCCTGTTCCTGATTCCCGCACAAGGCCAGTGGTGTGTGTTCCCAGTACGGTCAGGCCCGTTCCTGCTCCCCGCACTAAGCCTGTGGTGCGCGTCGCCAGCTCGGTCCGGCCTGTTCCTGCTCCCCGCACCAAGCCAATGGTGCGCGTCGCCAGCCCGGTCCGGCCTGTTCCTGCTCCCCGCACCAAGCCAATGGTGCGCGTCGTCAGCCCGGTCCGGCCCGTTCCTGCTCCCCGCACTAAGCCAGTGGTGCGCGTCGCCAGCCCGGTCCGGCCTGTTCCTGCTCCCCGCACCAAGCCAGTGGTGCGCGTCATCAGCCCGGTCCGGCCTGTTCCTGCTCCCCGCACCAAGCCAATGGTGCGCATCGTCAGCCCGGTCCGGCCCGTTCCTGCTCCCCGCACCAAGCCAGTGGTGCGCGTCGTCAGCCCCGGTCCGGCCTGTTCCTGCTCCCCGCACCAAGCCAGTGGTGCGCGTCGTCAGCCCGGTCCAGCCTGTTCCTGCTCCCCGCACCAAGCCAATGGTGCGCATCGTCAGCCCGGTCCGGCCCGTTCCTGCTCCCCGCACCAAGCCAGTGGTGCGCGTCGTCAGCCCGGTCCGGCCCGTCCCTGCTCCCCGCACCAAGCCAGTGGTGCGCGTCGTCAGCCCGGTCCGGCCCGTTCCTGCTCCCCGCACCAAGCCAGTGGTGCGCATCGTCAGTCCGGCACGGTCCGTGCCTGTTCCAGCTGCTCCACGCCGGAGCCAGAGCAATCCGCTCCACCGGTGTTCAGTCCAGCTCCGGCCAGCGGGGCCAGACCAGACCAGGGGCGCAACGGGGGGGTAGAGAGAGTGTGGTGGTCACGCCCGGAGGCGGATTCGCCTCCGAGGCGGAATGCCCACCCGGCCCCTACCCTGTTGTGTTGGTGTGGCGCGGTCGCAGTCCGCGCTTTTGGGGGGGGGGGTACTGTCACGCCCTGGCTCTGGGGACTCTTTATGTTGAGCCAGGGTGTGTAGGTTTCATTGTTTAGTTTTCTATGTTTGTGTTCTAGATCGTTTAGATCTATGTTGGCCAGGGTGGTTCCCAATCAGAGGCAGCTGTAGCTTGTTGTCTCTGATTGGGAACCATACTTAGGCAGCCTGCGGCATGTTACTTTGTGGGATCTTGATCCGAAAGGTTTGTGTTATGACCTAGGACGTATCGTTTCGTTTATTGTTTTGGTTCGTGTTGTGTACACTCAATAAAGTATGTACGCCTATCACGCTGCGCCTTGGTCCGCATCTGTCGACGATCGTGACAAAGAAAGAGAAAGAAAGAAAGAAAGAAAGAAAGAAAGAAAGAAAGAAAGAAAGAAAGAAAGAAAGAAAGAAACAAACAAAGAAAGAAACAAACAAAGAAAGAAACAAAGAAAGAAACAAAGAAAGAAACAAAGAGAGATTAGGAGAAAAAAATACTTGAATCAGTTATAGAACCCATTGCCCTTTATGGTTATGAGGTCTGGGGTCCGCTCACCAACAAAGAATTCACAAAATGGGACAAACACCAAATTGAGACTCTACCTACATGAAGAATTCTGCAAAAACATCCTCTGTGTACAACGTAAAACACCAAATAACGCATGCAGAGCAGAATTAAGCCGATACCCGCTAATGCTCAAAATCCAGAAAAGAGCCATTAAATTCTACAACCACCTAAAAGGAAGCGATTCCCAAACCTTCCATAAGAAAGCCATCACCTACAGAGAGATGAACCTGGAGAAGAGTCCCCTAAGCAAGCTGGTCCTGGGGCTCTGTTCACAAACATAAACAGACCCCACAGAGCCCCAGGACAACAACAACAACAACAACAACAACAACAACAACACAATTAGACCCAACCAAATCATGAGAAAACAAAAATATATTTACTTGACACATTGGAAATAATTTACCAAAAAACAAACCAAACAGGAATGCTATTTGGCCCTAAACAGAGAGTACACAGTGGCAGAATACCTGACCACCGTGACTGACCAAAAATTAAGGAAAGCTTTGACTATGTACAGACTCAGTGAGCATAGCCTTGCTATTGAGGTAGGCAGACCTGGCTCTCAAGAGAAGACAGGCTATGTGCACACTGCCACAAAATGAGGTGGAAACTGACCGAGCTGCACTTCCTAACCTCCTGCCAAATGTATGACCATATTAGAGACACATATGTCCTTCAGATTACACAGACCCACCAAAAAATGTAAAACAAACCCAATTTTGATCAACTACTATATCTATTGGGTGAAATACCACAGTGTGCCATTACAGCAGCAAGATTTGTGACATGTTGCCACAAGAAAAGGGCAACCAGTGAAGAACAAACACCATTGTAAATACAACCCATATTTATGTTTATTTATTTCCCCTTTTGTACTTTAACTATTTGCACATCGTTACAACACTGTATATAGACCTAATATGACATTTTAATTGTCTTTATTCTTTTGGAACTTTTGTGATTGTAATGTTTACAGTTAAATTTTTTATTGTTTATTTCACTTTAGTTTATTATCTATTTCACTTGCTTTGGCAATGTTAACATATGTTTCCCATGCCAATAAAGCCCCTTGAATTGAAATTGAATTGAATTGAATTTAGCGAGAGAGAGAGAGAGAGAGAGAGAGGGAGAGAGAGAGGGAGGGAGAGAGAGAGGGAGGGAGAGAGAGCGGGAGGGAGTGAGAGAGAGAGGGAGGGAGAGAGAGGGAGAGAGAGAGAGAGAGAGAGAGAGAGGGAGGGAGAGGGAGAGGGAGAGAGAGAGAGCGGGAGGGAGAGAGAGCGGGAGGAAAGAGAGCGGGAGGGAGAGAGAGAGAGCGGGAGGGAGAGAGAGAGAGAGAGAGGGAAGGAGAGAGAGCGGGAGGGAGAGAGAGAGTGTGTCTTATGTTATAGAAAACTGAACAAATATGAATGTTAACCACCTCCAGATATATTATGGCCTCCCATTATGAGCATTTACAAACCCTCTTATAAGCTCTAATAACCATCTGATGAGCACTCACCCCGTACACCAGCTCTCCGACCATGCCGTTCCACATCTTGGTCTCGGGGTCTCTGGCTCCATACTTCCCATCTGAGACCACCTTCAGTTTGTAGTGGTACCCAACGTGCTTGGCGATCTCAGCGGCTAGCTCCACAATGTAACCCTCATACTTATCATTCCCTGACAACTGATCATGGTTCTTCTTCAGCATCACATATGGGGATTCCTGTAGGAGACGGAGGGTGGATACATTCAGGTTTGGACTCAATTCCATTTCAATTCCAATTCAGGAAGTACACTGAAATTCCAATTCCTATTCTCTTCAATGCTTTTCAATGAGGAACCTTTGGAATTAGGTTTATTTTCTGAATTGACTGGAATTGAAATGGAATTGAACACAAGTCTGGATACAGTTCCAGTATGATCACATTAAAATATCCTTATAGGATGGATTGATAAAGGTTAGTACCAGGGAGTGTAATGACGTGAAACATGAGTATGACTGTGGATTAACTGCGTTGACAGAGAGTATGGGGATTGTAAAATAGGGTCCTTGTAGCAGTCGTAAGGGAAGACACGTTGCAGGAGGCAGCAGGATCAGGTGCACAAGTTGTGATTTTATTTAGGTCCACAGTTGACGATGGTGGTCCAGACATTAAATTGACAATACAAAATTATAAAAAGTGGATGGTTACAAATTGATCAGAATATCTTCTTCATGAAAAGAAAACGCCTTGGAGCTAATCTGTCTTCTAATCTGTCTTTTCCATTCAAACTCAGGTTGGGGTATCAGCCTCCCCTCACAATTACCAAGATTAATCGGCAAAATAGCCCCAAAAAATGAATTTGTATTCTCTGGGACATACAGTGTATTCGAAAAGTATTCAGACCCCTTTACTTTTTCCACATTTTGTTACGTTACAGTCCTATTCTAAAATAGATTAAATAAAACATTTCCCTCATCAATCTACACACAATATCCCATAATGACAATAAGAAAACACGTTTTTAGAAATGTTCACAAATGTATTAAAAATAAAAACAGAAATACCTTATTTAAGTATTCAGACTCGAAATTGAGCTTAAGTGCATCCTGTTTCCATTGATCATCCTTGAGATGTTTCTACAACTTGGAGTCCACCTGTTGTAAATTCAATTGATTGGACATGATTTGGAAAGGCACACACCTGTCTATTTAAGGTCCCACAGTTGACAGTGCATGTCGAAGGAATTGTCCAAAGAGCTCCGAGACAGGATTGTGTCGAGGCACATATCTGGGAAAGGGTACCAACCAATTTCTGCAGCATTGAAGATCCCCAAGAACAGAGTGGCCCCATCATTCCTAAATTTAAGAAGTTTGGAACCACCAAGACTCTTCCTAGAGCTGTATGCTGGCCAAACTGAGTTATCGGGGGAGAGGTGACCAAGAACGCGATGGTCACTCTGACAGAGCTCCAGAATTCCTCTGGGGAGATGGGAGAACCTTCCAGAAGGACAACCATCTCTGCAGCACTCCACCAATCAGGCCTTTATGGTAGAGTGGCCAGACGGAAGCCATTCCTTAGTAAAAGGTACATGACAGCCCACTTGGAGTTTGCCAAAAGGCACCTAAAGACTCTCAGACCATGAGAAACAAGATTCTCTGGTCTGATGAAACCAAGATTGAACTCTTTTGCCTGAATGCCAAGCGTCACGTCTGGAGGAAACCTGGCACCATCCCTACGGTGAAGCATGGTGGTGGCAGCGTCATGCTTTGTGGATGTTTTTCAGCGGCAGGGACTGGAAGACTAGTCAGGATTGAGGGAAAGATTAACGGAGCAAAGTACAGAGAGATCCTTGATGAAAACCTGCTCCAGAGCGCTCAGGACCTCAGACTGGGGCGAAGATTCACCTTACAACAGGATAACGACCCTAAGCACACAGCCAAGACAACGCAGGAGTGGCTTCGGGACAAATCTCTGAATGTCCTTGAGTGGCCCAGCCAGAGCCCAGACTTGAACCCGATCAAACATCTCTGGAGAGACGCTCCCCATCCAACCTGACAGAGCTTGAGAGGATCTGCAGAGAAGAATGGGAGAAACTCCCCAAATACAGGTGTGCCAAGCTTGTAGCGTCATACGCAAGAAGACTCGAGGCTGTAATCGCTGCCAAAGGTGCATCAACAAAGTACTGAGTAAAGGGTCTGAATACTTATGTAAATGTGATATTTCCGTTTTTAAAAAATCAATTTGCTAACATTTCTAAAACCAGTTTTTGCTTTGTCATTATGGGGTATTGTGTGTAGATGAGGAGGGGAAAAAAACAATTTAATCCATTTTAGAATAAGGCTGTAACGTAACAAATTGTGGAAAACGTCAAGGGGTCTGAATACTTTCCGAATGCACTGTATCACCGTCAAAATGACAACTGGTATTCAATGTAAAATGCATAATCCAAAATCATTCATTACATCGTATATTAGTCATTTTATAGAATGATCTACCTCATGAGTCATGCAAATGTGTATGTGGACTTTAACCTTTTACTGCTGTGGGCTAAATCCGGGTCACACAGTGTTTCTTGGCAGTCTTAAACAAATCTACTTTGAAACAAAAGTATACACCGCACACAAATGGCTATGAGCTTTTAAAAATAAGATACCTGTACCATGTCAGATATAGAGTTGAAATGTATTAAATGTTGAGTTTGCATCCCAATATTACACATTATTTACACACTAGTAGACTGTAGACATTGTTAATGTTGTAAATGGCTATTGTAGCTGGAAACGGCAGATTTTTTATGGAATATCTACATAGGCGTACAGAGGCCCATTATCAGCAACCATCAGTCCTGTGTTCCAATGGCACGTTGTGTTTGCTAATCCAAGTTTATCATTTTAAAAGGCTAATTGATCATTAGAAAACCCTTTTGCGGCTTCCCGAGTGGCGCAGTGGTCTAAGGCACTGCATCGCAGTGCTAGCTGTGCCACTAGAGATCGTGGTTCGAGTCCAGGCTCTGTCGCAGCCGGCCGCGCTTGGGAGACCCATTGGGTGGCGCACAATTGGCCCAGCGTTGTCCAGGGTAGGGGAGGGTTTGGCCGGCAGGGATGTTCTTGTCCCATCACGCACTAGCGACTCCTGTGGTGGGCCGGGCACAGTGCACGCTGACTCGGTCGCCAGGTGTATGGTGTTTCCTCCGGCACACTGTTGCGGCTGGCTTCTGGGTTAAGCAGGCATTGCGTCAAGAAGCAGTGCGGCTCGGTTGGGTTGTGTTTTCGGAGGACGCACGACTCTCGACCTTCGCCTCTCCCGTGTCCGTACGGGAGTTGCAGTGATGGGACAAGACTGTAACTACCAATTGGATACCACGGAATTGGGGAGAAAAAGGGGGTAAAATACAAAAAAAAAGAAAACCCTTTTGCAATTATGTTAGCACAGCTTAAAACGGTTGTGCTGATTAAAGAAGCAATACAACTGGCCTTCTTGAGACTAGTTGAGTATCTGGAGCATCAGCAATTGCGGGTTCGATTACAGGATCAAAATGGCCAGAAACAATTAACTTTCTTCTGAAACTCGTCAGTCTATTCTTGTTCTGAGAAATTAAGGCTATTCCATGCGAGAAATTGCCAAGAAACTGAAGATCTCGTACAACGCTGTGTACTACCTTCACAGAACAGCGCAAACTGGCTCTAACCAGAATAGAAAGAGGAGTGGGAGGCCCCGGTGCACAACTGAGCAAGAGAACAAATACATTGGAGTGTCTAGTTTGAGAAACAGACGCCTCACAGGTCCTCAACTGGCAGCTTAATTAAATAGTACCCACAAAACACCAGTCTCAACGTCAACAGTGAAGAGGCAACTCCGGAATGCTGACCTTCTAGGCAGAGTTGCAAAGAAAAAGCCATATCTCAGACTGGCCAATAAAAATAAAAGATTAAGATGGGCAAAAGAACACAGCCACTGGACAGAGGAAGATTGGAAAAAAGTGTTATGGACAGACAAATCGAAGTTTGAGGTGTTCGGATCACAACGAAGAACATTTGTGAGACGCAGACCAAATGAAAAGACGCTGGAGGAGTGCTTGATGCCATCTGTCAAGCATGGTGGAGGCAATGTGATTGTCTGGGGGTGCTTTGGTGGTGGTAAAGTGGGAGATTTGTACAGGGTAAAAGGGATCTTGAAGAGGGGAAGGCTATCACTCCATTTTGCAACGCCATGCCAATCCCTGTGGACGGCGCTTGATTGGAGCCAATTTCCTCCTACAACAGGATACTTTTGAACGGTAGTGTACATCACAGAAGACTGAACTATAACAAAAACCCTTTGACATAGAAACACCGGATTTTCAGCTGTTTAAAAAAAAAAGAATGTTGATTAATTATGAAATTATGAAAAATATGAATAACATTCCACCCATGAGGTCACTAGGTCATTTGACTACAGGAAAGGGATACACATTGCGCCCACTCACAGGATTGGAAATGGTAAGTGAAATGCAACAATATTGTACCGAAATGAAACAACATTTCTACAATGTTGCAGTAAACGTTAAGGAATTAAATGTAATGCTAGTGATTATTGTATGTTAACATGGAATATAGATTTAACAGAAATGTATGCTAGTTTAACTTGGGAAAACATTAACAAACATTTCGAATGCGGAAACAAAAGCAGGAGTTTGGAGAGTGCACTAGTTGCCTGACAGGTCTAGTGAATCAGCGCCACAGGGATTCCTACCCTATTCTAAGGAGAGAGAGAGATCTGTTCTTTTCATAGTTAATTTGATAGGGAAGTACAGATACTGGTTTTTATAATCAGAAAATATGTACTTTATATCCGAGATTTTCTATGGCATCGCCACTGAGATTTTATGTTAGGGATTTTTTTATTCCGAAAATACCCTTCACTTCAGGTGAAAGATTTCTGTGTGAGTGACAGAGAAGTGAAGTGATGGAGATGTAACCTGTTATGCCACACAAGTTTATGCTGCTGCTACTTGGACGGAATAAACGATAGAAAATAACTCCTTGTAACCAGATTCTTTATCATCGAACCCACAGGCCCTTCAGAGAAGGTAATTCATTAATTTAGGTTTACAATACCGTTAAAATATTGACACATTGAAGCTCAATTTTGGATGGATTTAATAGGAACTCGTATCACACCATACTTAAGTAGCTGACATAATATTTTCAAAGAGGGACATTGGAATGATGTAATATTCATACACAGCCCTGGGGAGGTGAGAAATAAAATGTTACCAGCTCATAAAGTTTATCACCAGTTTCCTCAAGATGAGACCATAGATGTATGCTTCATATTCAGGAGAATATACAAAGTAGCAGCTAACACAGTAATGGAATAGAATGGAGCTAGTAATGCGTTGTTCATTTGAGGAACTCTCCTGGAGAGGTATTTCAATAACATGGTTAATGTTCGATCATTAAGCCACAGCCACGGTGGAATAATAATTGTTAATAGGACTACAATTAAACCAAGAAAGATCATTGAACAATTGATCTTCATGAATCATTATATTGTCACAACCATGGAGTAGGCCTACAGTTGGTCAGTTACACAATGATCTATTTCATGATGTATGGCCCTTTCACAACTGTGGCGTAATATTCGACCCAGGAAGATCATTATATTTTATCATTATGGCGGTGCTGCCTGCCTGGTATCCTGGAGGTTCATTATATCGACATCACAAAGGCACCTGGTGAACCTGACACTGACAGGTTTACTAGTGGCCCACACACGTGCGGGAGGGTAGAGCAGACAATCACTGACAGCCCACCTCTGTCCTGAGAGGTTATCCTATTCCTGTTCTACCAGCTAGGCAACCAATTGGACCTTTTCAGAGATATTGGACATCCTGGCAAGATTACAGCTGACATGACACCTGAGGCCCTGTACTCACTCACTCACTCACTCACTCACTCACTCACTCACTCACTCACTCACTCACTCACTCACTCACTCACTCACTCACTCACTCACTCACTCACTCACTCACTCACTCACTCACTCACTCACTCAGCTAGCTCATAACGTTCTAAGAACCATATGTTTCTTAGAGCTTGGTGAGGGCGTGGTTGTCCTATGGTTATTTTGCATACGACCTTCCCACAACGTTCTGGGAATGGTGCAGGATAGTTGCTTGGCTTTGGAACATTCTCAGCACTTTTAAGGAACTTGACAAAATAACATTATTTTCTTGGTATTTCATTACTTTAACAGAACCTTTCCTAAAAGTTCAAACATGGTTACATTGGTAGTGTTCTAGGAATGTTCTCAAACTGGTTTGACATTGGGAATGTTCTCAAATAGTTCAGAGAATGTTAAGAAACAACCATCTCCAGTGGGAATTTCAATATTTCAGTATAACGTTTCCACCAGGATTCCTTATGGTTCTATTTAAATTAATGTTCTCAAATTGTTCCAAGAAACGTAAAGAAACAACGGTTTTCTGTGGGAATTTCAGCACTTCAGCATCACGTTTTCTGCAGGTTTCCATGCAGTTCTATTTAAAGTCAGGTTCCATAAAAACCACAAGAAAACATTAGTAATGTTCAAAGAACGTTCTCAGAATGTTATTGAAAAACATAAAAAATCTGTTCTCAGCATCAACAAAACTCTCTCTATCCTCTATCTTGTTAAGTGTGTTCAGGTGTGCGACCACTAATCGGCCACACCTGATCTTAATGAGTGCTTGTTTCCTTTGAAATGGGTTCTGTTTGAATAGACTAAAATGAACAGCTTTTTAGCATGCCATGTTTATGAGTTAAAAAACATGGCATGCTAACTCCATCTTGGTGGATGCAGTGGACTAATTTCAATGATAGAGAACATAAGATCATAGGTTCAAATCTCACTGACACCGTGCCACAATAAAAAAGAAATGTGTTTGCATGATTAATGCCTAAGGAAATGAATTTCCATGTGTCCTATCTGTGCTTGGAGTTCAGAACAGTTAACCCAAACTAAGCTAGCAGCGTTATTACAAATCTTATTGAAACATTCAGTGAACGTTTTAAGAAAGTTATTAAAAAACCTCAAAATAACTTATCCGTTCTCAGAACGTTAATAAAACCTCCCAGGAAAACATTCAGGGAACCATAGTAAAACGTTCTCAGAACCTCCCTGCAACTAAAATGTAACATTCCCAGAAAAGGTGACATTTTCACTTCCGTTCTCAGAATGTTTAAAAAAACGTTCAGTTTTACCGGTCATGAAACGTATGGCTTCATTCCCAGAACCAATGGGAAACCAAAAACGTACGCTCCAACAACTTCCAAGGAACCAAATGTGCTAGTTGGGAACCACACTAAATAAGAAAAAATGTCAAAGAGCGATAGAGCTCTAGATGAGCCAGATGTCCAGAGCAGTAATGGTACACTGGAGGAAGTAGTGGAGGAGAACCAAGTCGTTTCAAGCTACAGTAGCAATTTAAGCTAAGACTGCGCTGAGCGCCCAAATCCTTATTCCACATTTTATCAGCTGCTGTAGAGGCCAGAAGTTTTCCTCTGTGTGTTATGGTAATAACTGTCCCCCTGCTGGTTACGGATGAGTTGAAGGTAAGCATCGCTACACACAGAGCCTCTAGGTCTGGCAGAGAGACAGGACCCCAGGGAGGGAGTGGAGGGAAAGGTCAGTTTCAGGGCAGTTTGACAGGCCAACACACACACACACACACACACACGCCACACAGAAACACACAGATAGCAGGTCCACTAGGACTCACTCTCTCACTGACCTATAATAGGTCAACAGAGACCGGCTGCCTCTCAGGCGGAGTACCAACACCAACACACACACACACACACACACACACACACACACACACACACACACACACAACACCATGGCTTTGGACAGATGTTCTAGAAATGCACCCGTTCTTCTTTCATTCCTTCCTAACATCCTAAAAGCAGAGAGAATCAATGTATTCTAATGCATCCAGTTACTGTGAGGGAAAAAAGTATTTGATCCCCTGCTGATTTTGTACGTTTGCCCACTGACAAATAAATAATGTCACGCCCTGGCTCTGGGGACTCTAGTATGTTGAGCCAGGGTGTGAGTTTTCATTTGTTTTTGTTCTAGTTTTGTATTTCTATGTTGGCCAGTGTGGTTCTCAATCAGAGGCAACGTGTATCAGCTGTTGCTTGTTGTCTCTGATTGGGAACCATACTTAAGCAGCCAGTTTTCCCACAGTGTTTGTGGGATCTTGTTCCAGTGTGGTTTGTGTTAGACCGAGGACGTCACTTTATCGTTTGTTGTTTTTGTTCGTGTTATCATTATTTAATAAATGTGTTCACCTTTCACGCTGCGCCTTGGTCCTCTGTACCCGACGATCTTGACAGAAGATCCCACCAACACTGGACCAAGCAGCGTGTCCAGGAGCCAGCGCTAGAGGTATCGCTAAAGGACATCAACCTCGGCTGGACCTGGCCCACGGGGAGGAGAGACCCCCAGAACATTTTTAGGGGGGGGCTCACGACGTGGACGACGGGGCAGCAGGAGGCCGCGATAGAGCGGTCCAGCGGGTTTGCAGAGGAGGCCGCCAGGTTAAGGGGGCCATTGGTCACAGAGGAGAGGGAAGGTGTAGAGGCACGGCGAGAGGTACTGGGGTGTGTTACCAGTCCGGTCCGGCCCGTTCCTGATCCCGGCGTAGGGCCAGTGGTGTGTGTCCCCAGTACGGTCCGGCCTGTTCCTGTTCCTCGCATCGAGCCTGTGGTGCGCGTCGTCAGCCCGGCAAGGCCTGTTCCTGCTCCACGCACCAAGCCTATGGTGCGCATCGTCAGCCCGGTTTGGCCTGTTCCTGCTCCCCACACCAAGCCAGTGGTGTGCGTCGTCAGCCTGGCCCGGCCTGTTCCTGCTCCACGCACCAAGCCTATGGTGCGCATCGTCAGCCCGGCCCGGCCTGTTCCTGCTCCACGCACCAAGCCTATGGTGCGCATCGTCAGCCCGGTTCGGCCCGTTCCTGCTCCCCACACCAAGCCAGTGGTGTGCGTCGTCAGTCCGGCACAGCCCGTGCCTGTTCCACCGGTGCCTGGTCCGGCACCGGTCGGCTGCTCCACGCCGGAGCTAGAGCAATCCGCTCCACCGGTGTTGAGTCCAGCTCCGGCCAGCAGGGTCAGACCGGACCAGGGGTACTTTGGGGGGTTGGAGAGGGAGTGGGAATCATGTTCGGAGCCGGATCCGCCGCCAAGGCGGAGTGCCCACCCGGTCCCTCACCTGTGGTGTTTGGTTGGCGCGGCCGGAGTCTGCGCCTTTGGGGGGGAGTACTGTCACGCCCTGGCTCTGGGTATGTTGAGCCAGGGTGTGAGTTTTCATTTGTTTTTGTTCTAGTTTTGTATTTCTATGTTGGCCAGTGTGGTTCTCAATCAGAGGCAACGTGTATCAGCTGTTGCTTGTTGTCTCTGATTGGGAACCATACTTAAGCAGCCAGTTTTCCCACAGTGTTTGTGGGATCTTGTTCCAGTGTGGTTTGTGTTAGACCGAGGACGTCACGTTATCGTTTGTTGTTTTTGTTCGTGTTATCATTATTTAATAAATATGTTCACCTTTCACGCTGCGCCTTGGTCCTCTGTACCCGACGATCGTGACAAATAATCAGTCTATAATTTTAATGGTAGGTTTATTTGAACAGTGAGAGACAGAATAACAACAAAAAAATCCAGAAAAGCGCATGTCAAAAATTTTATAAATTGATTTGCATTTTAATGAGGGAAATAAGTATTTGACCCCTCTGCAAAACATGACTTAGTACTTGGTGGCAAAACCCTTGTTGGCAATCACAGAGGTCAGACGTTTCTTGTAGTTGGCCACCAGGTTTGCACACATCTCAGGAGGGATTTTGTCCCACTCCTCTTTGCAGATCTTCTTCAAGTCATTAAGGTTTCGAGGCTGATGTTTGGCAACTCCAACCTTCAGCTTCCTCCACAGATTTTCTATGGGATTTAGGTCTGGAGACTGGCTAGGCCACTCCAGGACCTTAATGTGCTTCTTCTTGAGCCACTCCTTTGTTGCCTTGGCCGTGTGTTTTGGGTCATTGTCATGCTGGAATACCCATCCACGACCCATTTTCAATGCCCTGGCTGAGGGAAGGAGGTTCTCACCCAAGATTTGACGGGACCGTTCCTTTGATGCGGTGAAGTTGTCCTGTCCCCTTAGCATAAAAACACCCCCAAAGCATAATGTTTCCACCTCCATGTTTTACAGTGGGGATGGTGTTCTTGGGGTCATAGGCAACATTCCTCCTCCTCCAAACACGGCGAGTTGAGTTGATGCCAAAGAGCTCAATTTTGGTCTCATCTGACCACAGCACTTTCACCCAGTTCTCCTCTGAATAATTCAGATGTTCATTGGCAAACTTCAGACGGCCCTGTATATGTGCTTTCTTGAGCAGGGGGATCTTGCGGGCGCTGCAGGATTTCAGTCCTTCACGGCGTAGTGTGTTACCAATTGTTTTCTTGGTGACTATGGTCCCAGCTGCCTTGAGATGATTGACAAGATCCTCCCGTGTAGTTTTGGGCTGATTCCTCACCATTCTCATGATCATTGCAACTCCACGAGGTGAGATCTTGCATGGAGCCCCAGGCCGAGGGAGATTGACAGTTATTTTGTGTTTCTTCCATTTGCGAATAATCGCACCAACTGTTGTCACCTGCTCACCAAGCTGCTTGGCGATGGTCTTGTAGCCCATTCCAGCCTTGTGTAGGTCTACAATCTTGTCCCTGACATCCTTGGAGAGCTCTTTGGTCTTGGCCATGGTGGAGAGTTTGGAATCTGATTGATTGATTGCTTCTGTGGACAGGTGTCTTTTATACAGATAACAAACTGAGATTAGGAGCACTCCCTTTAAGAGTGTGCTCCTAATCTCAGCTCGTTACCTGTATAAAAGACACCTGGGAGCCAGAAATCTTTCTGATTGAGAGGGGGTCAAATACTTATTTCCCTCATTAAAATGCAAATCAATTTATAACATTTTTGAAATGGGTTTTTCTGGATTCCTTTGTGGTTATTCTGTCTCTTACTGTTCAAATTAACCTACCATTAAAATGATAGACTGATCATTTCTTTGTCAGTGGGCCAACGTACAAAATCAGCAGGTGATCAAATACTTTTTTCCCTCACTGTATATCTAATGTCTGATCGTTGATGAGGGTTCTTGAACGGCATGTATCCAGTCTACAGTGTAATAATTCCTCTTTGAAAGAAAACGTGGTTGTGCCCATAGTAAACATTATATATATACAGTGGGGGAAAAAAGTATTTAGTCAGCCACCAATTGTGCAAGTTCTCCCACTTAAAAAGATGAGAGAGGCCTGTAATTTTCATCATAGGTACACGTCAACTATGACAGACAAATTGAGATTTTTTTTTCCAGAAAATCACATTGTAGGATTTTTAATGAATTTATTTGCAAATTATGGTTGAAAATAAGTATTTGGTCACCTACAAACAAGCAAGATTTATGGCTCTCACAGACCTGTAACTTCTTCTTTAAGAGGCTCCTCTGTTCTCCACTCGTTATCTGTATTAATGGCACCTGTTTGAACTTGTTATCAGTATAAAAGACACCTGTCCACAACCTCAAACAGTCACACTCCAAACTCCACTATGGCCAAGACCAAAGAGCTGTCAAAGGACACCAGAAACAAAATTGTAGACCTGCACCAGGCTGGGAAGACTGAATCTGCAATAGGTAAGCAGCTTGGTTTGAAGAAATCAACTGAGGGAGCAATTATTAGGAAATGGAAGACATCCAAGACCACTGATAATCTCCCTCGATCTGGGGCTCCACGCAAGATCTCACCCCGTGGGGTCAAAATGATCACAAGAACGGTGAGCAAAAATCCCAGAACCACACGGGGGGACCTAGTGAATGACCTGCAGAGAGCTGGGACCAAAGTAACAAAGCCTACCATCAGTAACACACTACGCCGCCAGGGACTCAAATCCTGCAGTGCCAGACGTGTCCCCCTGCTTAAGCCAGTACATGTCCAGGCCCGTCTGAAGTTTGCTAGAGTGCATTTGGATGATCCAGAAGAGGATTGGGAGAATGTCATATGGTCAGATGAAACCAAAATATAACTTTTTGGTAAAAACTCAACTCGTCGTGTTTGGAGGACAAAGAATGCTGAGTTGCATCCAAAGAACACCATACCTACTGTGAAGCATGGGGGTGGAAACATCATGCTTTGGGGCTGTTTTTCTGCAAAGGGACTAGGACAACTGATCCGTGTAAAGGAAAGAATGAATGGGGCCATGTATCGTGAGATTTTGAGTGAAAACCTCCTTCCATCAGCAAGGGCATTGAAGATGAAACGTGGCTGGGTCTTTCAGCATGACAATGATCCCAAACACACCGCCCGGGCAACGAAGGAGTGGCTTCGTAAGAAGCATTTCAAGGTCCTGGAGTGGCCTCGCCAGTCTCCAGATCTCAACCCCATAGAAAATCTTTGGAGGGAGTTGAAAGTCCGTGTTGCCCAGTGACAGCCCCAAAACATCACTGCTCTAGAGGAGATCTGCATGGAGGAATGGGCCAAAATACCAGCAACAGTGTGTGAAAACCTTGTGAAGACTTACAGAAAACGTTTGACCCTTTTTTAATGCCAACAAAGGGTATATAACAAAGTATTGAGAAACTTTTGTTATTGACCAAATACTTATTTTCCACCATAATCTGCAAATAAATTCATAAAAAATCCTACAATGTGATTTTCTGGATTTTTTTTTTCTCATTTTGTCTGTCATAGTTGACGTGTACCTATGATGAAAATTACAGGGCTCTCTCATCTTTTTAAGTGGGAGAACTTGCACAATTGGTGGCTGACTAAATACTTTTTCCCCCCACTGTATATATATATTTTTAAAGGCGATTCCACAGAAAGAAAACCCAAAACTTAGATTCAGGTCCATAGCCTGGCCTTAAAACGATACTATGTCTGCCTGTAAAGGCACCAAGCCTTCCTGATAGATTAAGGACAGTCATCCTTTCCTCCTTCCTCCATACCCCCCACCTCCCACTACCCCAAGCTAGAGGTCCTGGAGCCTATCCTCCATACCCCCCACCTCCCACTACCCCAAGCTAGAGGTCCTGGAGCCTATCCTCCATACCCCCCACCTCCCACTACCCCCAAGCTAGAGGTCCTGGAGCCTATCCTCCATACCCCCCACCTCCCACTACCCCAAGCTAGAGGTCCTGGAGCCTATCCTCCATACCCCCCACCTCCCACTACCCCAAGCTAGAGGTCCTGGAGCCTATCCTCCATACCCCCCACCTCCCACTACCCCAAGCTAGAGGTCCTGGAGCCTATCCTCCATACCCCCCACCTCCCACTACCCCAAGCTAGAGGTCCTGGAGCCTATCCTCCATACCCCCCACCTCCCACTACCCCCAAGCTAGAGCTCCTGGAGCCTATCCTCCATACCCCCCACCTCCCACTACCCCAAGCTAGAGGTCCTGGAGCCTATCCTCCATACCCCCCACCTCCCACTACCCCAAGCTAGAGCTCCTGGAGCCTATCCTCCATACCCCCCCACCTCCCACTACCCCAAGCTAGAGGTCCTGGAGCCTATCCTCCATACCCCCCACCTCCCACTACCCCAAGCTAGAGCTCCTGGAGCCTATCCTCCATACCCCCCACCTCCCACTACCCCAAGCTAGAGGTCCTGGAGCCTATCCTCCATACCCCCCACCTCCCACTACCCCAAGCTAGAGCTCCTGTCTGTGGGCAGGAGACATCAAAGGGCCTGGGGAAGCGAAGGAAGCAGCAGGGAGGAGAACACATCCTCACATTACATCACTACTGAGTAAAGTCTCTGTGAGTCCGCGATGTGACTGAAATAAGAAACAGGCTATAGGCTAACAGAGTGGCCAGGAGAGAAGGAAAGAAGGGACGGAAATGTGTCTGTGTCAGTGGGAATTTCTGTCTTGTCAGGGCTAAGATGAACTCTTTCACACACACACACACACACACACACACACACACACACCAGGGTTCCGTTAGCCGGTATTAGTCGGCTTTTGGAATATTTTAATTTTTTTAAAGGCAGGCTTCATCAGCGCGTCACACACCACTGCAATGAGCTGGAGGTAGTATGCATTTTGAAAACATATACGTAATTGTTGGAAACCTGTTTTACTACATATTATGAGGCATGTCTTACCTTGCTTCAAAGTAGCCTAGCCAAAATCAGACCATTTCCGAGGAGGCAATTATTTTATATCAACTTTATTTCATTGTCCAGTAGCCAAAGGCACAATCCGAGTCATATTAGATCTCCCCTCTTTCTTCATTTCTAATGGATATTTTCATCTCTTTCATATGAAACCGCTCGCTTTTGACAATGGTGTTTTCCAGCAAATTGCATTACGGAACGAACATTCGCGCGTAGCCTACTGTCTTGTTTGCATTGCTGCGCCTATAATGTGAATAAATAATACTTTATCAAAATTTTAAGCTAAACATTCTGATCTGTTGCATCAGACTCATTGCTTTTTAACGTTTATTTTGTTTATGTAGCCTAGGCCTACTGGTTGTATGAATTTGGGATCTATCGTCTCACAACTGTCCCAGAGTCTGTTTGGAACAGGCTATTTCTTTCTCGACAAACTGACCAATAGAATAGGTCAACTTTTCTACTATGGGATATAGTAGATTGGCATAGGCTAGTGATTTTGCTGTTCATTACTCGACTTGTTGGCTGAGGAAAAGTAAATGTGTACAGTTATTCTAACATCTTCAAAGTGCGCATCAGAATTTGGTAAGAAGGACCGCACGTCGTTGCATCCTCGACTTGCATATTTTTTAAACATGAATGACCATAATCTAAATGTGATTTCTGTTATTCTGAGCACCGTGGGTGGACGCCCTAATCAGGTTACGCACCCAATGCATATGGGTCCGGTAAATTTCTCAAATGTCCGGTAAATTAAAATGCTGCCAGTCAAATGTGGATGTCCAGTGCCACATTTTCCTAACGGAAACCCCGACACACACACACACACACATAAACACACACACACACACTGACCAGGATGGTGGTAACTATGTAGGTCCTGTTCTGTAGGCCGTAGCTGCTGTCGTTGCTGCCTCTCATGAAGGTAGCTGTGCTCACGTACTTCTCGTCCTCGGTCCAGTAGCCCACCTGATACACACACAAGATAAACAGACAAGTGAAGAAACTGACAGGCTATGAAGGAAACCTTGATTTGATCTGATACTGTACTGTACAGATATGATATGAGACTGCAATGAAACACTAATGGACATGAATCCCCACACATGACATCAAAAATATCCTATAAGATCCCACTAGATCCCATAAGATCCCATAAGATCCTACAGACCTCATGACTCACCTTCTTAGGTCCAGAGGGGGCAAGCTCCATGACACTGACGGTGAAGTTGGTCCTGCGTCCTTTCTCATTGAACTGGATATGACCCGTCAGGCCATCGATACGCACCTGACACACGGGGAGGGACAGGAAGGACAGCACCAATAACACAGAGACACAGGAAGCAGTTACGATGTAGGTTTTTAGGTGTAGGACTCATAAGAAAGTCTTATTGTATTAGCCTCATTGACAGAGAACATCAGCTGGAGTTCTGTTTCTCCAAGAGCCTTGTCTGGATGTTCAACGGAACATGTGTGTGTAGCGTGTACATTATTATGTGTGTGTGTTGTGTGTGTGTGTGTGTGTGTGTGTGTTCAAAACATTAGGAACACCTGCTCTTTCTATGACATAGACTGACCAGGTAAATCCAGGTGAAAGCTATGATCCCTTATTGATGTCACCTGTTAAACCCACTTCAACCAGTGTAGATGAAGGAGAGGAGACAGGTTAATGAAGGAGTTTTAAGCCTTGACACAACTGAGACATGGATTGTGTATGTGTGCCATTCAGAGGGTGAATGGACAAGACTAAATATTTAAGTGCCTTTGAACAGGGTATGGTAGTAGGTGCCAGGCGCACCGGTTTGAGTGTGTCAAGAACTGCAACGCTACTGGGTTTCTAGGGGGTGCAACACAATATTAGGAAGGTTTTCCTAATGTTTTGTACACTCAGTGTATGCGTGTGAGTGTGTGTGTGTGTTTAAGTGTGTAGTGTGTGTGTGTGTAGCGTGTGTTCAGTGCAGCATGTTAGTGTTGGCAGCATGATGAGTTTAATTGAGCGAGCGGGGCATCAATCTCCTCTCTATCCACAGGCAGATGGCTGCATTCACTCATACCAGACCACAGCTAGACACAGCCGTGGAGGCACTGTGTGTGAGTGTGTGAGTATGTGTGTGTGTGTGTGTGCATCAATTAGACCACAGTTCCACAGAGCCACACCAGAGAGACCAGTGTGAGACTGAGAGCATCTGTCTGTTTAAAAGCTTAAGTCAAGGGCCCAACTAAAATATCAATACAATAACATCTTAATGACTACATGAGTACATATTACCTCAATGACCTTGACTAACCGGAGCCCCCGCACATTGACTCGGTACCGGTACCCCCTGTATATAGCCTCGCTATTGTTATTTTTGCTGCTGCTCTTTAATTATTTGTTACTTTTATTTCGTATTATTATGTTTTTTTGTGATTTTTTGGGGCATTCATTCTTAAAACTGCATTGTTGGTTAAGGGCTTGTAAGTAAGCATTTCACTGTAAGGTCTACACCTGTTGTATTCGGCGCATGTGACAAATAACATTTGATTTGATTTGATCCAATTAGTAATGTTGTCAGTACCAGAAAACAGCTCCCCATCTGCTAGCAGATATTGATAATCAATCCAATTCATGCCATGTTCCTCTGCAGGCACGTCTAGGGCAATTACTAATAATCGCACAGCAACATTGATTTATTCAGTTTGTGTCTGAAAACCTATTGGGCCCTGTCTCCCTCCTTCTCTCCCCAAGGGAAGGGAAAAGGGGAAAAAGACAAAAGGGCCGGAGAGGAATTTACTTTCTCCCCCCCTTCTCTCTCCCCCCCCCCTTTTCTCTCTCTCTCTTTTCCTCTGTCTCCCCTCTTCTCTCTCTCTTTTTTGTCCCCCCCCCTTCTCTTCACTCTCCCCTCTTTCCCCCCTTCTTTCCTTTCCCTGTCGTCCCCCCCCCTTCTCTCTCTCTCTCTCATATCGGTTTAAACAATTTTACTTCAGATTCTGGGCCTGGTTGCATAATAAATCTTAACTTAATTTCCCCCTTATCTTTTCCCTTAAAGTTTCCTTTGAAGTTTCCTTAACTTAAAGTCAGTTGCACAAAACATTTTAAGGCAAATGTTCCCCTTAAATGAAGTGAAAAAGTGAAGGGTGCCCATGAGGTCCCTTAAGTGCTTCATTCAGTATGGATATCAATGTAAACAGCACTTGTGGAGGTGAATGTTTTCCTCTGCCCTGGTTTCAAAGGGAAAACATCAACCAGCTAGCTAGCTACTTAGCTAAACAATGGAAGGTGCACAATCCATGGCTACAAAGCTAGCTGGCTAGCTAGCTACCTACTCTGTAAGTTAGCTTGAGTGCTAGGTAGTAATAGAAACAAGTTGAGAAAAATGTAACAAAAATAACCGTTTTATTATCTTCTATATCAATTAGTTTCTTCTGTCTTGAATAAATGTGATCTCTTTGGTGAGACGTTGATTCAGTGAATCAGGTCGTCTCAACAGTAACCAGAGACGCTTTCTGCCGTACATGCCTTCAAACTACAGTAAAATTATAACCTAAGGAAATGTGTAACACCTTTAAACAATTCCCTTAGGTAAAGGGAAACATTTAAGATGTTTTCTGCAACCGGGCCCTGATGTTTATCCAAGTTTCTCCAAACCTCAAATTTCGAGGTGTTTTTGACACCCTGGGTTGCTCCTACTGCTACGACTGCTCCTTTATGCGGCTCCTCCTGTACTAATTCTGAATGGTTAAGTTAAGGGTTAAAGTTTGGGATAGTATTAAACAAAAACACACAGAAATGAGTGTCTACGTCCATCCATCATCACCACCCTAGCAAAACCCAAGCCTACTTGATGGTAAAAGCACTCATCGCTGCCCCTAGTGGCGGGTTTTGAAGGCATCTCCTGACTTCCTCAGGACATGGATTGACATCTAATTTCGAAGTGAATCTTGAGTGACCTGGCTGCTCGCTCACCCTTCGGTAATACTAAACCAAGTGCTTTATTTCATTCCCATCTCGGAACATTGCATTACTAAACTCCATTGTTGATGTCATATTCTATGATGATCACAGCCAGGTTTTATTGCCTGCAGGTTTTGTTTACCTAATGTGATGTCACATTCCATCCAGGAAGCTCATAGGTGACTAAATGGGAATGTTAGGTGACAGAATAGAGATCTAATTTGTTCAGCAGGGCCTGACTCAGGATGGGTTAGCCAACGTGCCACTCAGGAGCTTGTCTGTGTATGTTGTGCTTGTGTGTGTCTATGTAAGAGTGTGTGGGTGTATCTCTCATTTCTACCAGCAGAGTAGTTTGTGGTGTATGTACCTGTTATAAGATTCTCTGAATGTCTTTGCCATGGCCCTCGGGTCCAGACATTTTGGTGTGTGTGTGTGTGTGTGTACCTGTTGCAGGGCTCTCTGTATATCTATGCCTTGGCCCCAGGGTGCGGGCGGGTTGGCGAGGCATTCGCCTGCGTTGCCACGGCGAGAGATGTCTATCCTCTGTTTCCGAAGGTTCTGGAACGCTGTAGACATCACCTTAACCCCGTATAGTCAAGGGGGGTGTACTACAGAAGAGGGGGGAGAGAAGGGGGGTGGAGGGGGGGAGCGAAAGAGAGGGAAAAGAGAGAAAAGAGGAGGGCGAGAAGGACTCCTTTTTACCTTTTTCACCAAAAATTTTCTTATTCTTAAGGGGGTAAACCCTAAACAAACTTTTCCGAATCTTAAAAAAGAGGAGGGGGAAATTAACAATTAAAAACCAAGTGGCCGGGGGGGTTTTGTTTGTGTTTCTTCAAGGGAGGGATGGAAAGCCAAAGGGGCGGGGGGGAGGGGACATTTAAGGGGGGGGTTTTTAGAAAAATCCCCCTTCATTAAGAGGGTTTAAAAAGGGAGGAAATTATACAGGAGTTGGGGCAGAGAATTTCCAATTGGCCGGGGGGTGTTTGTGTCCTCCAACTGGGAAGCAAGTTTAAATGGGCAACGCCAAAAGGTCGGGGGGGATGTCGGATCCCATGGACCCCTTTTGGGGCGGGTTTTTTAACTAAATCAAACGGTACGTTTGCCGGATTAAAGTGGAGGTTTATTTGGGCCCCCCCTTTTGGGCGAGGAATCCAGAAAACCCGAAAAAACGGGACGAAGGACAGACAGACAGGAGATGATATAGAGACGGATGGACGGATGGACAGACAGACAGACAGAGAGAGGATATAGAGACGGATGGACGCATAGACAGACAGAGAGAAAAAGACAGACAGAAAAACAAGTTAAACATTTAGAGGAATAAATTTACTTCTCTAGTTTCATGTTTTTAGGATGAAATGAAGAAAATATGAAGGCTACTTTTTCAACGGAGTTTTGGGTAAATATGTTTCCTACAGCTCACAGTGTTAGATTTAAACCAAGCATTGTGTAGGAATATGAGGAATGGGGAGAAAAAGTGTTTGTTAACACGGGCCGATATTGCGGGTTTCCTACTTACAAACATGTAGAGGTCTGAAATTTTTTATCATAGGTACACTTCAACTGTGAGAGGACGGAATCTAAAAAACAAAATATCCAGAAAATCACATTGTATGATTTTTAAGTAATTAATTTGCATTTTATTGCATGACATAAGTTTTTGATCACCTACCAAGAAAGTAAGAATTCCGGCTCTCACAGACCTGTTGGGTTTTTCTTTAAGAAGCCTCCTGTTCTCCACTCTTTACCTGTTTAAACTGCACCTGTTTGAACTCGTTACCTGAAATAAAAAGACACTGTCCACACACTCAATAAACAGACTCCAACCTCTCCACAATGGCCAAGACCAGAGAGCTGGGTAAGGACATCAGGGATAAAATTTTAGAACCTGCACAAGGCTGGGATGGGCTAAGGATATTAGGAAGCAAACTTGGTGAGAAGGCAACAATGTTGGCGCAATATTAGAAATGGAAAAAGTTCAAGATGACAGTCAACACCCCGGTCTGGGGCTCCATGCAAGATCTCAAATCGTTGGGCATCAAGATCATGAGGAAGGTGAGGGATAGCCCAGAACTACACGGCAGGACCTGGTCAATGACCTGAAGAGAGCTGGGGACCACAGTCTCAAAGAAAAAAAATTAGTTACACACTACGCCGTCATGGATTAAAATCCTGCAGACACGCAAGGTCCCCCTGCTCAAGCCAGCGCATGTCCAGGCCGTCTGAAATTTTCCAATGACCATCTGGATGATCCAGAGGGGATGGGAGGGAAAGGGCAGGGTCTTTATGAGACAAAAATAGAGCTTTTGGGCTAAACTCCATCGTCGTGTTTGGAGGAAAAGAAGGGAAGGATGAGTACAAACCCCCAAGAACACCATCCCAACCGTGAAGCATGGAGGTGGGAAACATAATTCTTTGGGGATGCTTTTTTGCAAAGGGGACAGGAAAGACTGCACCATATTTAGGGGAGGATGGATGGGGCCATGTATCGCAAGATCTTGGCCAACAACCTCCTTCCTCAGTAAGAGCATTGAAGATGGGTCGTGGCGGGTTTCTTCCAAACATGAAAAACGACCCGAAACACACAGCCAGGGCAAACTAAGGGGAGTGGCTCCCTAAGAAAACATCTCAAGGTCCCGGAGTGGCCTAGCCAGTCTCCAGACCTGAAACCAATAGAAAAAAATTTGGAGGGAGGGTGGGAAAGTCCGTATTGCCCAGCGACAGCCCCCGAAACCTGAAGGATTGGAGAAGGTCTGTATGGAGGAGTGGGCCAAAATCCTGCCTGCAGTGTGTGCAAACCTGGTCAAGACCTACAGGAAAACGTTTTGATCTCTGTAATTTCAAAAAAAAGGTTTCTGTACCAAATATTAAATTCTGCCCTTTTTTGATGTATCAAATTTCTTATGTTTATGCAATAAATGCAAATTAATTACTTAAAAAAACATACAATGTGATTTTCTGGATATTTTTTTTAGATTCCGTCTCTCACAGGTGAAGTGTACGTATGATAAAAATTACAGACCTCTACATGCTTTTTAAATAGGAAAACCTGCCCAAAAACGGGGAGTGTATCAAAACTTGTTCTCCCCACTGTGGGAGGGTGTCACGGTTTCGGCGAGGGGCCCCCCCCTTTTTTGCGGGCAGGTTTGGCGTTCGCGTCTCCGGAATACTAGCTGCCAGATGTGAAACAAGTAGGCAGAGATCATTATAGAGAGATCAGAGCAGAGATCATTATAGAGAGATCAGAGGAGAGAACATTATACAGAGTTCAGAGCAGAGATTGCCTTAAGTGTGCCTTTCGGTGTGTGTGTGTGTGTGTGTGTGCTTCCAGACCTGGGAGCAACGTAAGATAGGCAACGCCACAAGGTCTGGGGAGGATGTCGGATTCTCATGGACATTTCAAGGGAGGGTCCTCTTCAGACATACAACTCACTCAACAAATCACGAGTTTGGGAAGCAGGACTTAAAATGCTGGAGGAAATTGGATATGCAGCGATGTGATGGAGCGAGATGATATGCAGCGAGATGACCGGAGAAGCGTGTCCGATTTCCGACTCGTACTCTGTCCCAACTGATGCCGGAACTTGTACTGACATGTTAAGCTGGAGCATTGGAACATTGCAACCCGTCTGTCTAGAGAGACTTGTGTGTATGTCTGTGCAGTGCAATGCAGTACCTTCAGGCGTCTCTTGGGGACCTTGGCGTCTTTGTTTTCGAACTCCATCCACTGCTGAATGGTACGGCTGACGTTCTGCTCTGTGTAGTTGACCAGCTGGAAGCCTGTGATGTTGGCCCCGCCTTTCCTCAGGTCTGTTAGGTCAATGTCCAGAAAACCCTGATAGGAAGCGGATGCAGAGAGGACAGACAGACAGAGAGATGATATAGAGACGGATGGACGGATGGACAGACAGACAGACAGAGAGAGGATATAGAGACGGATGGACGCATAGACAGACAGAGAGAAAAAGACAGACAGAAAAACAAGTTAAACATTTAGAGGAATCAATTACTTTCTCTAGTTTCATGTTTTTAGGATGAAATGAAGAAATATGAAGGCTACTTTTTCAACAGGAGATTTGGGTAAATATGTTTCCTACAGCTCACAGTGTTAGATTTAAAACCAAGCATTGTGTAGGAATATAGAGGAATGGGGAGAACAAGTGTTTGATACACTGCCGATATTGCAGGTTTTCCTACTTACAAAGCATGTAGAGGTCTGTAATTTTTATCATAGGTACACTTCAACTGTGAGAGACGGAATCTACAACAAAATATCCAGAAAATCACATTGTATGATTTTTAAGTAATTAATTTGCATTTTATTGCATGACATAAGTATTTGATCACCTACCAAGCAGTAAGAATTCCGGCTCTCACAGACCTGTTAGTTTTTCTTTAAGAAGCCCTCCTGTTCTCCACTCATTACCTGTATTAACTGCACCTGTTTGAACTCGTTACCTGTATAAAAGACACCTGTCCACACACTCAATCAAACAGACTCCAACCTCTCCACAATGGCCAAGACCAGAGAGCTGTGTAAGGACATCAGGGATAAAATTGTAGACCTGCACAAGGCTGGGATGGGACTACAGGATATTAGGCAAGCAGCTGTGGTGAGAAGGCAACAACTGTTGGCGCAATTATTAGAAAATGGAAGAAGTTCAAGATGACAGTCAATCACCCTCGGTCTGGGGCTCCATCAGATCTCAACTCGTTGGGCATCAATGATCATGAGGAAGGTGAGGGATCAGCCCAGAACTACACGGCAGGACCTGGTCAATGACCTGAAGAGAGCTGGGACCACAGTCTCAAAGAAAACCATTAGTTACACACTACGCCGTCATGGATTAAAATTCCTGCCAGCACACGCAAGGTCCACCCTGCTCAAGCCCAGCGCATGTCAGGCTCGTCTGAAGTTTGCCAATGACCATCTGGATGATTCCAGAGGGAGGAATGGAGAAGGTCAGTGTGGTCTGATGAGACAAAATAGAGCTTTTTGTCTAAACTCCCCGTCGTGTTTGGAGGAAGAAGAAGGATGAGTCAACCCCACGAACCCCATCCCAACCGTAAGCATGGATGGTGGAAACATAATTCTTTTGGGTAGGCTTTTCTGCCAAGGGGAACAGGTACGATATGAACCATATTGAGGGGGAGATGGATGTGGGCCATGTATGAAAGTTCTTGGCCAACAACCTCCTTCCTCAGTAAGAGAATTGAAGATGGGTGTGGCTGGAGTCTTTCCAGCAGACACGACCCGAAACACACAGCCAGTGGCAACTAAGGAGTGTTGGCTCCGTAAAGAAGAATCTCAAGGTCCAGGAGGGCCTAGCCAGTCTCCAGACTGACTCCAATAGAAAAATATTTGGAGGGAGTGATTGGATGTGAAAGTCCGATTGCCAGCGGGACAGCCGAAACCTGAAAAGGATCTGGAGAAGGTCGGTATGGAGGAGTGGGTCCAAACCACCTGCTTTGCAGTGTGTGCAAACTGGTCAAGACCTACAGGAACTGGTTATGATCTCTGTAATTGCAAACAAAGGTTTCTGTACCCAATATAAGTTCTGCTTTTCGATGTATCAAATGACTTAGTCATGCAATAAAATGCAAATTAATATTACTTAAAAATCATTCAATGTGGATTTCTGGATATTTGTTTTATCTTCGTCTCTCCAGTTGAAGTGTAAGGTATGATAAAAATTACAGACCTCTACATGCTTTGTCTGTAAGTAGGAAACCTGCAAAATCGGCAGTGTATCAAATATCTTGTTCTCCCCATGTAGGGTGTTTGAGGGGCTGTCACGGGTTTCGGACGAGAGGCTGCCTCTTTCCTTGTCTGGGAGACGTACACGGTACGAATCTCTGAGACAAGGATAACATACGGCCCGCCCACTGCCCCTGCGTCCTCGAGTTTTTTGTGTGAAGAAAAGGAGGATGGAGGATTACGCCCGTGCATGATTACGTGTGGTCTCAATCATGTATCACGGTGTGATAGTTAACAGTACCACTCCGCCGATTTGCGACCATGACGGAAGTCCATGCACGGGCGCGTTTTTTCTTCGTTTATTTTTTGTTTTTTTTAGCGCATTAGTGGAGGGCTGATGAATGGAAAGACAGCCCCTTCCTCCCACGTTTTTTAAGTACCACCTCGGGCAATTAACGAGTACTCGTCATGCATAGGGTTTATGAACGCTCTTCAGTTTTCCAATCGTCGTGGATGCGATTCTTTTCAGGGACAGGCAGGGGACAGGGAGGTGGTCGGTACATCGATGGAAATTTCGTGTAATCGCATACCCGAGTCGAGCATGGGCTGGTGCGCCCAAGTGTTTGCGGAGGGATGTTGGAAGCCACGACCGTATGTCAAGGCAGAGAAGTGTCTGTTCTTCCAGGAGTTCGGTATCATTTTTGGGTTATCAGTGTTGCAAGGGTGACGAGATGGAGGTAGACAGGGTTTTTCGGGGCAGTGCCGAAGTGGCAAACGCCAACCACTGTAAGGAGGTTGCAGCCCAGTTTTGGGGGTTGCGAATTTATAACGGAGGTTATACGGGGTTTTGGGCAGGTGGAGATCCATAATGTCTCTTTGTAAGGGGGGTCCGGTTGCGTCTGCATGTTCAGCCGAGGCTGAAAGGGAGTTGGGAGGTGAAGGACCGTGTACCGCGCTCTGGTGCTGGCGCATCCGGATCCCTCTTTGCCATGTCAGGTAGAGGTGGACGGTCAGAGGCCGTATTAGGAGCCCGCTGCTGTCGCAAACGGTCCGGCGAGCCAACTAAAAACTCCGCCCCTGTGCCTTCTTTCCAAGAAGCTCAGGTCCGGCGGAGAGAAACTAGGACTGTGGGGACAGGGAGTGTTAGCCGTAGTTACAGGCCACTAAATGTGGGGAGGCACGGGATTGAGGGGGGGCATCGAACACCCTTTCCTCTTTGGACGGACCACCGTAACTGGGAGTACATCCGCGGCAGCGAGGAGGCTGAAACCCTCGCCAGGCGAGGGGAATATGTTTTTGACCCGGTCAATTTCAGATCCGTACATCCTGGTCACAGAACGGTAAGGCAGACGCACTGTCTCGGAGGATTATGACACGGAGGAGAGCGGAGATGTGTACGTGGAGCCCACTCACATAGCCGGAGTGTGTCTGGTGTGCACCGGTGAGTGGGGAGGTCGATGCGTGAACTCGATTTTGCGGGCGGTAGCACCGACCCTCGATCAACCGCAATGCCAGGAGGGGGTCGTGGAAGTACGTTCGCTCGAGGATTCGGATCGATGATCAATTGGGCTCACACGTTCCAACCTCCTCTGGGCCACACTGGTACCGGCCCGGTACGGCACTCTCTCAGTGGCCAAGTACTGGTGGCCACGTTGCGCGAGGGGTTGTGAGGGGTTATGTTTCCTCATGCTCGGTGTTGCGACAGTGTAAGGCGCCTATGGAAATGCCTAGGGGTAATGTTACTACCCTGCAGTTCCACAACGACCATGGTCCACCTCTCGTGGGGGATTTCCCATGACCTTACTCCTGAACAGGGGAATACCAATATACCGGGCGTTTGTGAGACCGGTTTCTAAGGCCTGTCGTTGTTGCTCCATATGCAGGGCCTTCCTACTGCCTGTCAAAAGACCGCCGCTAGAAGGCACTATTAACCATTGTGTTCGGCACTACGGGGGTAACCGATGGGATGATTGTGTCTGATCGAGGTCCCCCAATTTACCTCCAGAGAGTCGGGAGCTTTTGTATGGAGCGGTTGGGGGTCTCGGTGAAAGCCAACCTAGGGTGTTAACACACGGAGCATGTAATGAGTGCAGGTGGGTGGAACGCGTGAACAGGATGCGGGGATGGTTGTTTCTTAGGAACATACATGCAAGGCAGCGGCGGAGGAGTGGGCTAAGGTACGTTCCCTGAGGGCCGTAAATGGCCAGAATCCCTACGCCATTCCTCCACTAACCTAACCCCTTTTCAAGTGGGTTAGGTTTTACCAGCCCGGTTCTTGGACACCTTTCGGAGCAGAGACCAGATCGATAGGGCTCCTGCGGTGGGATGCTTGCGCGGCGCCGAGCGGAGACATGGAATGGGAAACGCTTGCTATCACGGTCCACCTGCAGCGGTGCCCTCCTCGTCATAAGGCGATGCGACGATCTCCCAACCGCAGTGAGGGGTACCGGTGTACGACACTGGTGATCGAGTCCTGGCGTCTCTACAAAACCTTGCCCCTCCGCCTGCCCTGTCGGAAACTGTGGTCGGCGGGTTGGGTAGGCATTTAAGGTCCTGAGAAGAGTGTAACGGGTGTGGTTTACATAATTACAACTAACTGTTGAATATAAAAGTATTAACCTCGTTCACAGTGTCTCTTCTCAGGCCGGTGGTAGCTGGCCCACTCCAAAAAGTGAGGACAGGGAGGAATACTCAGCCCCAACGGGACATCACGAGGGGGGGGGCGGGTTTGGGGTTGGGGGGGAGTCGGGGGGGTGTGGGGGGTGGCACCGGCTGTACTCTGTGCGTGGTCCATCTTGGTATTCGAGAAGTCGGATGGTGGGGGGTCTCCAATATCTAGTGAGTGGGAGGGGTACAGGTCCGGAGGAGGTGTGCGGTGCCAGGAGAAAGAGACAGTTGGACGTCTCTCCTGACGGAATCACATCGTGGGAACCCGATCGCACCCGGACTATGAGTTCTCCTGGTCCCGTCCACCGAGGCCGGGAGTAGGTCGCACATCAGTTGGAGCGAGAGTAACAAAGGGGTGGAGTGCGGGGGGTGGTGTGTGGAGGGGCAGGGTGGAGGGCGTACTGTCAAGGGTTCCGGCAGAGGCGCTTTCTCCCTCTCTTCCTGCTCGGGCAGGCTCGGCCGTTTCGTCGTCTCCGGAATACTAGCTCCACCGTTGCATCTGTTTCTATGTTCGTTGGCTTTTGTCTGTTTGTTGTGGACACCTGTTACGTTTAGTTGGTAATTAGTGTCCTAAAGTTTCTCGTTGTGTTGTTCTAGTGTTGGTGTGTGATTGCCTTTTATTTTTGCGTGCGTTGATGGTCGTGTTTTAAATATTCGCTCGGTGAGCTATTCTCCACGGTGTTGGAGCGTTTGACGCACCTGTGTAGTTTGCGCACGTTTTGTTTTGTAGCTACGTGCGGAGTTTCGCCTTGCGGGCAAGTTTTTCATTTTTCCATTGTGGGATGTTCACTAAAGTCTTTTGGGACTTGTACTTCGGTTTTGTCACTCGCTTATTCCACCGTACTACACCCATCCTACAGCATCACTGACAGTGGCAGTATGCTTTTTCATAGAATACTAACTACTTCAGTGGTTAAAAATGAATTACATTGGGTGTAACGCTAATTAATGACAGGGAGTGGAAATTGAATACCTTAAAATATGAAATGGGAGAGATCCATATTCAGAGATTAAAATCATAATCAGTCTGAGGTTGCATAAAGTTTTTGCTACACGAGTAAATGTGAGAAGAGATGAGGAGGAGAGAGTAGAGAAGCGATAGAGAGAAAGTTAGGAAGAGGGAGAGGAAGAGTAAGAGGAAGAAGAGAGAGAGGAGAGAGAGCAGAGGATTGGGATTGATTAGATCGAGGGAGAGCAGAGATGGAGAGAGAAGGGAGAGGAGGTGAGAGAGACGATCTAGCCAGATAGGGAGACGATGAGGAGGATGAAGAGAGAGAGGAGAAGAGAGAGGAGAGATGAGAGAGAGAGAGAGAGGGAAGAGAGAAACATTAAAAGAAAGAAAAAAAAGAGAGCACGGAGGGGAGAGCATGAAGAGAGGGAGAGAGGAGAGAGCGAGTGGGCAGGAACCGATGAACGGAGAGAAGAAGAAGGAGAGGACCGAAGAGAAGAGAGAAGGACCGGGAAGGGGAGGAGCGAAGATTCGGAGCGAGAGAGAGTCAATGAAGAGGGGAGGACGAGGGAGACGAGGAGAGAGAGACGCTAGAGGAGAGAGAGGGAGGGAAAGAGAGGAGAGGAAGGAGAGAGATGGATTGCGGACGGGAGAGAGAGAGGAGTGAGGAGAGGGGAGAGGAGGGAAGTGAGGGAGATGCAGAGTGAGAGCGAGAGAGAGAGAGAGCGGCACACACCCTGCACCACGCGCCATGCGGAGAATTGTACGTGTATCATGCGAGTTAGATGTGTTCTGTATAAAGGCCCAAGCAGTATCATTGTACTTCCCTGGTTTAAACTAAAGCAGGGAGAGAGATGCGCGAATGCCAGGGTCCAATTCTTAATGCAAAGGGTAAAGTGTTCCAATCCCTCGCGCCGGCTCTCTCCCGCCACCGCTGAAAAGAATTAAGTAAGAGGGAGAAGAAGAAGGTGAGAATGAAACAGACAAGATCAGTGAGGGAGAGGTCTTAGGTTTAATCCCTGATAGAGTTGCTGTTAATCCTGGGAACTCCGTGCTGTGAAGGAATAGACCAATTCCCTAGGAACCATTCAAACAATGTGGAACACATGGAAGAACCTCTGGAAATGGTGGCTAGGCTCTGTGGCGTGTTGGGGTTCGAGACCACTAAAGCGAGAACGCCAGATCAAGACCGCGGAGCAAATTGAGTCAGAGTCACGACCACCCATACTAAGAGTTTCAAATGTCCTTATTGTGTTCATATTTCAGAACAAGTTAAGGATGCTTAGACATTCAGAATAGTGAAAAAAATGCATGTTGAAGGGGCGAAATAGAGGCCACTCAACAAATTATTACTAACCCAATACACAGTGGGGAACGAAACAATGGGCCTTCTAGCCTCAGAGAATGGTAAGTGATTTATACAATAAGATTATAATAATATAATAATAATTAATTATTATGTTAAATGACGTTCTAATTAATTCTTCAGTTTTTGTTGGAACGTAAAGGGGTTAACACTGAAGAGAAACAAAAATTCCAATCAGCATTTTTTTCTGTGCTGACGTACAAGGGGGAGATATAAATTCTAGCTAGCAAAAGTTACCATTGGATAGGCATCAGAAGATAGACAAAGCCATCTGCCATCAAAGGTATTAGGGAAATTTTGAGGGACAGTGGAATCAACCAATTCACTTTTGAATTAATGAAAGTGGAACCATTTACTAAAAATTTATGGAAAAATTGAAGGCCAACGATGTTAATGCGCTCAATAGCGGCAGTAGGTTTCACGTGTTCTAGCTAGCTAGCTGTTGTTGTCGGGGCTAGTTTGCCCAGCGGCGCTGCAGCAGGTGTATTAAAAATGATGTGTGCTAAGTGTTATCTTCTCTCTTTTCAAGATAACTTTCAACAAGAAGGAAAGTTTCAATGATTTATATCATCTGGTGAGTGGTGGGAAACTGTGTTTTTTATTGCAGCAAAGCTTAATGTTGTTTGGTAAGCATCTCTTTGAAATAACTTAGGGGTGGGAAACATTGTTGCATTTAGTGGAAACTGACAGCATTTTTTTAAGCAACATAAAGTCTTATTAATCTGTTTAATATACAGCCCAGGAAGAAAGAACATGACATTTAAAAAAGATGTTATACAAACAAGCCAGTTGCCCCACGGTCTGCCATCATGTCACTGAAATGGACTGTGTGTTTACAGGTAGTTGACCTTCCTTACGTCTTCTGCAGACTTGGACAAGCCATGCAGTGTGGTCCAACCAAGCACCCAAGCTAACGGCCTAAAGTGCTAGCTGTTAGCTAGGGGGTACTTCCAGAGGACAAATGAGATGACAACACCGCACTGGTACACCGATATTACTCCGCAAGTGTTGTGCGCGTTCGTTAAATGTCAAGTTGTTTCTTCCGCTCTGCACACACTCAGATGAGCGAGTGCTCTGAATCGGAGTCGATAGCCAGAGTGGAATTTGCGTACGTACAAGAGGATTTATGCTAACTGTATAGCAGTTTCGTTCAAAGTTCTTGCCCAAGCTAACCAAATATGGACCACATGCAATCTCTAGCTTGTTGGATAGCCACCAAAAAACGATTTTGTTTTTTTGAGGGGAAAAAAGCTTCAGTCACTCACTCACTCTCCCATGCATGACCATGAAATCCTAGCAGCTAGCTTGCTAGCTACTAGATAGCTAAAGTTAGCCTCTGTGTTTTATTTTAGCTTTACTAATAATAGATACGCTAGACCTATTAGCCATGGGATGAATCACTTGTGATCATGGCCCTTCTAGTTTTTTGCGTGTGTTGTTTGTTGACATTCCCGCCTTAGTTACATTCGACACATTTTTGGCCAGAAAATTGAGTCATTGATGATTGAAAAATGAAACAGTGCAATCCCGAATGGAGATTTAGCACAACATGTACCAGACCCCACTGATTTACTAACCTGATAGCAATATTGATTTTGGCTGTTTGCTTTATATCTGCAAAGTAGTTTTAAAACGCTTTTGTATGTTAGACTATAAAATTGAGGTCACCGGGGTTACTTTGTGTGCTTAAACGTGAAAGGGGTTTTTGCAATGGGAACAGTACTAGTTGTACACTTTCCATTGGGAAATGACTTCATGGTTGTGTTTTGGTATTTTATGATTGGGACCTACTGTTTATTTATGTCTGAGTTTAGGGAATGCTGGTATTTCCTCGGCCATATCTTGCAGTGGTTTTGTAAGTTGGTGCCGTGAGAGGCCTGGAGATGAGAAGTGCGACTATACTATAAACGTTTGCCAAAAAAGTTCCAAAAACAGCTTGCCCAGCGAAGGAAGAACCAGGTGATGTGAATAAATGTCCTATGTTTTTTATGACGTTTTCCTATAGAGTTTTTTCAGATGTTCACATCAAAATCCCACCTTTTTTGTATAGGAATAAAATAAATAATGATGATGGACTAAAAATCCACAACAAGCTTTAAACCAGCATCTCTTGATGATTGAGTTGGCTGTCAGGGTTCTGGCTCCCCAGGGGTTGGCCTAAAAAAAAAAAAGGGGGGGAAAAAAAAAAAGGGAGGGGGGGGGGGGGGGAGGGGGGGGAGGGAAAAAAGTCTTTGGAGTACTTGGTGTCCTGCGCTTGATTCCCACCACTACACCCACCTACAGCATCACTGACAGTGGCAGTATGCTTCTGTTCATAGAATACTAACTACTTCAGTGGTAAAATGAATTACCTGGGTTGTAACGTTAATACTGCAGGGAGTGGAAATCTGAAATAACTAAAATATGAAATGTGAGAGATCAATATTCAGAGATAAAATCATAATCAGATCTGAGGTGCATAAGTTATTTGCTACATCGAGAATGTGAGAAGGAGAGAGAGGAGAGAGAGAGCGAGAGAGAAGTAGAGAGAGAGGAGAGAGAGAAAGAGAGAGAGAGAGAGAGAGAGAGAGAGAGAGAGGAGAGAGAGAGAGAGAGAGGAGAGGAGAGAGAGAGAGAGAGAGAGAGAGAGAGAGAGAGAGAGAGAGAGGGAGAGAGAGAGGAGAGAGAGAGAGATGGAGAGAGAGAGAGAGAGAGAGAGAGAGAGAGAGAAAAAAAAACTGCACAAGAGAAATGAGGGAGAATTGTTAAGTGTATAATGAGAGAGTGTTCTGTATAAAGGCCAAAGCAGTACATTGTAATTCCTGGTTTAAACTAAAGCAGGGAGAGAATGAGAGAATGCCAGGGTCAATCTCTTAATGAAAAGGGTAAATCCCTCAGAGCAGGCTCTTATCCCAGCCCCAGCCTGAAAAGAAATAAGTAACGAGGGAGAAGGAAGAAGGTGAGAATGAAACAGACAAGATCAGTTGAGGGAGAGGTCTAGGTTTAATCCCTGATAGAGTTGTGTTAATCCTGGACCTCCGTGCTGTGAAGTAGAATAGAACCACTTCCCTGGAACCCTTCAACACTGTGGAACACAATGGAAGCACACCTCTGGAACTGCTGCTAGGCTCTGTGGCAGTGTTGTGTTCGAGACCACCTAAAGCGAGACCGATTCAAGACCATGCCCGGAGCAAATTGAGTCAGAGTCAAGACCACCATAATAAGAGTTCAAAATGTCCTGTGTTCATATTTCAGAACAATTTAAGGATTCTTTAGACATTCAGAATAGTGAAAAAAAATGCATGCTGAGCGAAAATAGAGCCACTCAACAAATTATTACTAACCCAAACACAGTGGGGAACAATGGGCCTTCTACGCCTTCAGAGAAGGGCTAAGGATTTATACAATAATGATTATAATAATATAATAATAATTATATTATTATTTTAAATGATGTTCTAATTTAATCTCTTCAGTTTTTGTTGGAAAGTAAAGGGTTAACACTGAAGAGAAAAAAAATTCCAATCAGGATTTTTCTTTGCTGGTCACTGGGGAGATAAATCTAGCTAGCAAAGTTAGCCATTGGCTAGGCCATCAGAAGCTAGACAAAGCCATCTGCCATTCAACTGTATTAGGGCAACATTTTGGAGTGACAGTGGAATCAACCAATCACATTTTGACTTAATGAGTGGAACCATTTTTACTAAAATTTATGGAAAATTGAAGGCCAACAGGTCACTGCGCAATAGCGAGCAGTAGTTTTCCCACGGTCTAGCTAGCTAGCTTTTGTTGTCGGCTAGTTTGCAGCGGCTGCAGCAGGTGTTATTAAAAATGATGTTGTTGCTAATTTGTTATCTTCTCTCTTTTCAAGAGTAACTTTCAACAAGAAGTAAAGTTTCAAATGATCATCATCTGGTGAGTGGAACTGTGTTTTTTATTGCAGCAAGCTTACTGTTGTTAGCCATCTCTTTGAAAATAACTTATGTGTGTGTGAAACATTGTTGCATTTAAAGTGGAACTGACAGCATTTTAGCAACATGAAATCTTATTAAAATCTGTTCATATACAGCCCCAGGAAGAACATGACATTTAAAAAAAGATGTATACAAACAAGCCATTTGCCACACGGGCCTGCCATCATTCACTTTGAACTGGACTGTGTGTTTACAGGTAGTTGCCTCCTCGTCCTTCTGCAGCTTGCCAGCCAATGCATGCTTGTCCAAACCAAGCACCCAAGCTAACTGGCTAAAGTTGGCTAGCTTGTTAGCTAGGTACTTCCAGAGACAAATGAGATAACACCTCACTCTGACACCGATCATATTCAGCAAGTGTTGCGCGTTCGTAAATTTGTCAGTTGTTCTGCGCTCTGGCACACTCAGATGAGAGTGCTCTGAAATCGGAGTAGATAGCCAGAGTGAATTTGCGAACGCAAGAGATATGCTAACTGTATAGCAGTCGTTCAAGTTCTTGCTAGCTAACCAAATGACACCTGCATCTCTAGCTGTGTATAGCCACCGAAAAACGATTTGAGGGGAAAAAGTCAGTCACGCACTCACTCCTCCATTGGCATGACATGACATACTCCTAGCAGCTAGCTAGCTAGCTAGCTATCTAGCTAAAGTTAGCCTCTGTGTTTTTAGCTTACTACATAAATAGATACGCTAGCCTATTAGCCATGTTATGAATGACTTGTGATCATTGCCCTTGCTAGTTTGATTGTGTTGACATTCCCAGCCTTAGTTACATTCGTCCATTTTTGTCCAGAAAATTGAGTCATTGAAACTGAAACAGTGCATCCCGAATGGAGATAGCAAACAATGTACCAGACCATCTGATTTACAACCTGATAGCAATATTGATTGTCTGTTTGTTTCATATCTGCAAAGTAGTTAAAACGCTGTCAGTTAGACTATAAACTTTAGGTCACCGGTTACTTTGTGTGCTAAACGTGAAATGTTTTTTGCAATGGGAAGTAATAGTTGTACATTTCCATTGGGAAATGCTTAATGGTTGTGTTTTTGTATTCTTATGATTGGGACCTACTGGCTTATTATGTCTGAGTTTATGGACTGCTGTCTTTCCATCGGCCCTATGCAGTGGTGTAGTGGTGCCTGGAGAAGTGGATATACTATAAAGTTTGCCAAAAAGTTCCAAAACAGCTTGCCCAGCGAAGGAAAGGCACCATGTGTGAAAAATGTTTCCTATGTTTTTTTATGAGTTTTCCTATAGATTTTTTTTCAGATTTTCACTCTCAAAATCCCACCTTTTTTTTATAGAATAAAATAAATAAATGATGGACTAAATCCACAACAATGCTTAAACCACATCTCTCTGATTGAGTTGGCCTGTCAGGGTCTGGCTCCCCAGTGGGTTGGCCTCTGTCCACCCAGGCCCATCCATGTCTACACCCCTGATCCAAACCGTGCATGATGACAATTGCGCATCACAACTTTTTCAATACCTGGTTTGCATACCCATTGTTGCCTTAGTTTGCATTTACTGGTAGATATCATAAGTTGAAACGTCTTCCCTACCCTGTGGTCCTCTGTAGCTCAGCTGGTAGAGCACGGCGCTTGTAACGCCAAGGTAGTGGGTTCGATCCCCGCGACCACCCATACACAAAAAAAAAATTATGCACGCATGACTGTAAGTCGCTTTGGATAAAAGCGTCTGCTAAATGGCTTATTATTATTATACCCTGCCGGCTACCGATGTCATTCGTCTGTGAGCTGCTCCATGCCAAAACCAGTTGAGAGCTGCACACTATTGCTGCCTGCAGATTATATTCCACTGGAACTAGGCTGTGTGCGGCGTGCATGTGAATATATTTCACGTGCTTTGCGATTGTGTAGGCTACTTTGTGCATGATTTCTCTATTGTACTACGTCATTGATAAGTCATATACCTCCACTACACTACTATATACGCATCAGTTGGGATTAAGAAGTGAGTATAAGCATGCCCACTGAACAAAAAGTGGGTATACGGCTTATACCTGCGTATACCCTCCACTACAGCACTGGCCCTTTTTGTTTTACAAAAAGTGCACTCCTACATGAGTGCGCTGGTATCACGGTTGCTGTCCTTTCAGAATCACGAACCTGTCACACACTGAAGGCCTTTAGGTTCACCACTGCGCAAACATGGCTATAATAGATATAAAGGCTGTTAAGATATGTTTCAAGAAAGGAGTGCATATATTTGGCCTGGCGAAGCGGATTTATGCGCTGACTGAATGGAAGCTGATAATTATGAGTTTTTTACTCTGCAAGTCCTCAATGTCTGAGACCGAGTCAAGACCGAGTACAAATGTATCCGACACTGAGACAAGACCGAGACACTCAATTTGTGGTCTGGAGTACTACAACACTGCTCTGTGGTCTGGAGTACTACAACACTGCTCTGTGGTCTGGAGTACTACAACACTGCTCTGTGGTCTGGAGTACTACAACACTGCTCTGTGGTCTGGAGTACTACAACACTGCTCTGTGGTCTGGAGTACTACAACACTGCTCTGTGGTCTGGAGTACTACAACACTGCTCTGTGGTCTGGAGTACTAGAACACTGCTCTGTGGTCTGGAGTACTACAACACTGCTCTGTGGTCTGGAGTACTACAACACTGCTCTGTGGTCTGGAGTACTACAACACTGCTCTGTGGTCTGGAGTACTACAACACTGCTCTGTGGTCTGGGAGTACTACAACACTGCTCTGTGGTCTGGAGTACTACAACACTGCTCTGTGGTCTGGAGTACTACAACACTGCTCTGTGGTCTGGAGTACTACAACACTGCTCTGTGGTCTGGAGTACTACAACACTGCTGTGGTCTGGAGTACTACAACACTGCTCTGTGGTCTGGAGTACTACAACACTGCTCTGTGGTCTGGAGTACTACAACACTGCTCTGTGGTCTGGAGTACTACAACACTGCTCTGTGGTACATAATTACTCTGATTCTCCTTTGAGGGGTGTGTTTCTAGAACACTATTGAACTCAGTGTTCTATTTTAGAATCCATGGTTCCTTCTATTAAGGCAAGTCATCCAGGTCCTGAGGCAGCAAAGCATCCTCAAACCATCACCATGCTTGACCATTGGTATGTTCTTACTGTGGAATGCAGTGTTTGGTTTTCGCCAGATATAATGGGACCCATCTCGTCCAAGAGTGGGCCAAAATTACTCCACAGCGACGTGAGAGACTGATCAACAACTACGAGAAGCGCTTGGTTGTAGTCATTGCAGCTAAAGGTGGCACAACCAGTTATTGAGTGTAAGGAGGCAATTATTTTTTCACACAGGGGCATTGGATGTTCCATAACTTTGTCTATGAAATACGTATGTAATTGTTGTGTTATTTGTTCACTCAGGTTCCATTTATCTAATATTAGGATTAGGGTGAAGATCTGATAACATTCAGTATTAAAAATATGCAAAAGTAGAGAAATTTAGAAACGGGGCAAATATATTTTTTACATCACTGTACACTGTACTCATATAAAACAGTATGTCCTGCTTTGACCCATTGGGATAAACACATTGGAGAGAGAGACGGAGAGAGAGAGAGCGACAGAGAGAGCGCGAGAGAGAGATGCCCAGGCCGTGCGCAGAGCAACAGGCCCAACCCCCACTATTACACCCGGCCAAGCACCATCCTGCAACCTAAGAGGTATGTATCAGACGCTTAAAATGCTCTGATCACACCTACTGTAATGGTCCGGGCATAAACCACACAAAAATACACTATGGAACACAAAGCTTTTACTATCTCATCCTGGAATATACAAGGCCTGAGGTCATCTGCCTTTGGCCTAAAGAGCAGGAAGCCAGACTTCACCAAATAAATCAGAAATACAGACATTGTCTTCCTACAAGAAACATGGTATAGAGGAGATGGACCCACTGGTTGCCCTCGAGGTTACAGAGAGCTGGTAGTCCCATCCACAAAACGACAAGGTGTGAAACAGGGAAGGGACTCAGGGGGTAAGCTAATTTAGTTTGGAGCAGACCTAACCCACTATTTTAAATGAGTCAAAACAGGAACATTTTACATCTGGCTAGAAATTAATAAGGAAATGATCTCAACAGAGAAAAATGTCCTCATGTGTGCTACCTATATCCCCCCCAATAGAATATCCATACTTTAATGAAGACAGCTTCTCCATCCTAGAGGGGGAGATCAACCACTTCCAGACCCAGGGACATGTACTAGCCTGTGGCGACCTAAATGCCAGAACTGGACAAGAACCTGACACCCTCAGCACACAGGGGGACAGACACTTACCTGGAGGTGACAGCATTCCCTCCCCCAATGCCCCCGTAGACACAGCTATGACAACATAACCTACAAAAACGGATCACAACTCCTGCAGCTCTGTCGGACGCTGGGTATGTACATAGTCAATGGTAGGCTTCGAGGGGACTCCTACGGTAGGTACACCTATAGCTCATGTCTTGGCAGTAGTACTGTAGACTACTTTATCACTGACCTCAACCCAGAGTCTCTTAGAGTGTTCACAGTCAGTCCACTGACACCCCTATCAGATCACAGCAAAATCACACTCTACTTGAACAGAGCTATGCTCAATCATGAGGCACACACATTTCTTTCCACAGGGCCGAGGGGTGAGACAGGGCTGCAGCTTAAGCCCCACCCTCTTCAACATGTATATCAACGAATTGGCGAGGACACTAGAACAGTCTGCAGCACCCGGCCTCACCTTACTAGAATCTGAAGTCAAATGTCTACTGTTCGCTGATGATCTGGTGCTTCTGTCCCCAACCACGGAGGGCCTACAGTAGCACAGATTCTGTCAGACCTGGGCCCTGACAGTAAATCTCAGTAAGACTAAAATAATGGTGCTCCAAAAAAGGTCCAGTTGCCAGGACCACGAATACAAATTCCATCTAGACACTGTTGTCCTAGAGCACACAAAAAAACGACACATACCTCGGCCTAAACATCAGCGCCACAGGTAACTTCCTCAAAGCTGTGAAAAATCTGAGAGACAAGGCAAGAAGGGCCTTCTACGCCATCAAAAGGAACATAAAATTCGACATACCAATTAGGATCTGACAAAAAATAATTGAATCAGTTATAGAATCCATTGCCCTTTATGGTTGTGAGGTCTGGGGTCCAACACCAAATCGAAACTCTGCATGCAGATTTCTGCAAAAATATCCTCAGTGTACAACGTAAAACACCAAGTAATGCATGCAGAGCAGAATTAGGCCGATACCCGCTAATGATCAAAATCCAGAAAAGAGCCGTTAAATTCTACAACCACCTAAAAGGAAGCGATTCCCAAACCTTCCATAACAAAGCCATCACCTACAGAGAAATTCACCTGGAGAAGAGCCCCCTAAGCAAGCTGGTCCTGGGGCTCTGTTCACAAACACAAACAGACCCCACAGAGCCCCAGGACAGCAACACAATTAGACCCAGCCAAATCATGAGAAAACAAAAAGATAATTACTTGACACATTGGAAAGAATTTACAAAAAAACAGAGCAAAATAGAATGCTATTTGGCCCTAAACAGAGAGTACACAGTGGCAGAATACCTGACCACTGTGACTGACCCAAAATTAAGGAAAGCTTTGACTATGTACAGACTCAGTGAGCATAGCCTTGCTATTGAGAAAGGTCGCCGTTGGCAGACCTGGCTCTCAAGAGAAGACAGGCTATGTGCACACTGCACACAAAATGGAGGTGGAAACTGAGCTGCACTTCCTAACCTCCTGCCAAATGTATGACCATAATAGAGACACATATTTCCCTCAGATTACACAGACCCACAAAGAATTAGAAAACAAATCCAATTTTGATCAACTCCCATATCTATTAGGAGAAATACCACAGTGTGCAATCACAGCAGCAATATTTGTGACCTGTTGCCACAAGAAAAGGGCAACCAGTGAAGAATAAACACCATTGTAAATACAACCCATATTTATTTATTTTCCCTTTTGTACTTTCACTAATTTGCACATCGCTACAACACTGTATATAGACATAATATGACATTTGAAATTTCTATTGTTTATTTCACTTTTTTTTTAACATATGTTTCCCATGCCAATAAAGCCCCTTGAATTGAAATTGAGAGACAGAGAGAGAGAGAGAGAGAGAGAGAGAGAGAGAGGAGAGAGAGAGAGAGAGAGAGAGAGAGAGAGAGACATAGAGACAGAAGGGGGAGAGAGAAAAGAGAGAGAGATGGGGGAGGGAGAAAGAGAAGGCAGAGAGGGGGGAGAGAGAGAGAGTAGGTAGAGAGAGACAGAACTAGAGAGAGACAGAAGGCAGATTCAGGCCCTCAGCAGAAAATCTGTCTGATGCAGACAGAAGCAGTCACACACCGAGACACAGAAAGACTGATGATGCAGACAGAAGCAGTCACACACAGAGACACAGAAAGACTGATGATGCAGACAGAAGCAGTGACACACAGAGACACAGAAAGACTGATGTACAGACAGAAGCAGTCACACAGAGACACAGAAAGACTTATGTACAGACAGAAGCAGTCACACAGAGACACAGAAAGACTGATGTACAGACAGAAGCAGTCACGCACAGACACAGAAAGACTGATGTACAGACAGAAGCAGTCACGCACAGAGACACAGAAAGACTGATGTACAGACAGAAGCAGTCACACAGAGACACAGAAAGACTTATGTACAGACAGAAGCAGTCACGCACAGACATAGAAAGACTGATGTACAGACAGAAGCAGTCACGCACAGACACAGAAAGACTGATGTACAGACAGAAGCAGTCACGCACAGACACAGAAAGACTGATGTACAGACAGAAGCAGTCACACACAGAGACACAGAAAGAATGATGTACAGACAGAAGCAGTCACACACAGACACAGAAAGACTGATGTACAGACAGAAGCAGTCACACACAGACATAGAAAGAATGATGTACAGACAGAAGTAGTCACACACAGAAACACAGAAAGACTGATATACAGACAGAAGCAGTCACACACAGAGACATAAATACTGATGTACAGCAGGAGACAGAACAAGTGAACTCTGTATCCTCAGATCTTTGTGATTGGAAGTGCTGTCAACCGCTCTGAACTTCAGCCTCCGACTGTGACTTTCTGTCTGATAGAAGGTCCATCACCACCAGCAACCCTTATTACATTGATCCCTGCCTGCCCTCTTCTTTGATGAAACTTTTTGAGGTCTGGTATTCTTAACGCCATCAATCAGAGATCTCTTGTCTTTCTCTCCTCTCCTCTCCTCTCCTCTCCTCTCCTCTCCTCTCCTCTCCTCTCCTCTCCTCTCCTCTCCTCTCCTCTCCTCTCCTCTCCTCCTTATGCCTAATGGGCCTGTTCCTTCCACCCCCCTACTCCTCTCCCTCTCCACCCTTCTCGCACCCCCTCTCCCTCTCATCTCCTCTCCTCTCCTCTCCCCTCTCATCTCCTCCGCTGTCCTCTCTCCTCTCCTCTTTCTCCCTGAAGTACCAGCCCAACCAGGTGTGCATATGTCTCAGTTGAATGGTCAGAGGAGAGAGAGAGAAGGAGAGAGAAGATAAGAAGAGATGTATATTTTTCTGCTCCATGTGTTAGCTAATGCAGTGCACTGAGCTGAGCAGATTACTATAGAAACCGCTCCTCACGGACACGGAGTGGAAACATTTGATATAGACCTCCTAGACACACACAGAAAGACTAAGAGATGGAGACACACACAGAGACATGCACACACACTCCCTCATGGATGCAGACAAGCAGGCACACACACACACACGTAAATAAGGTAGCTGCGCTAAGGTAGGACACAGAAAAGTAATTTTAATAGAGCCATTATGGAGATCGCAGGCCGTTTTGCATTCTAGACTTTATTGCTTTCACAGCTTTATCATTTACACTTCAATCTAACAAACTGACCAGATGAGAGGGATATTGAGATAATCATAAAATCCCAGCAGTGAGCCAGCATATTAATGTTGTTATTACCATGGATGTGTCCCGAATGGCACCCTATTCCCTATATAGTCCACTACAAAGGGAAAAGTAGTGCACTATAAAGGGAATATGGTGCCATTTGGGACACAAACCATACTTTCTGTTGATATCAATTTTCTGCTGTATTTAGTGTCTATGGTGAGGTTGTATGAGCAGTGCCCTGGGACGACCATAGCAGACAAAGACAGCTAATGCACATTACCCTGCACACATTTACTCACTGACCCTCTACTGTCTGTCTGTCTGTCTCTCAGTGGCTGGCGGCTGAGTGTATGTGTGTGTGTGTGTGTGTGTGTGTGTGCTCTGCAGCATTTCAACACAGTCAGCCAATCAAGGCAGGGGTTTGCGTTCCTCTTCTAAGGCTCTACCAGCAGCAGGTTATTAGTGGCAGTATGAATGGTCTGACTCAGTAGACTACAGAGACGTCTATACAGAGAGTGTGTAGAGGTCCTACAAAAAGAACAGTCCTAGAGTTAGTCAGTGGAACATATTTTTAAAAAATCTCTTTTTTTTTTTTCAAGACAGATCTGTTGTATCCCTTCAGAGAAACCTGAAACTGATTTGGTGCTTCTCATGCATCTTTCCAGTTAGATGTAGGGTGGCAAATCAGAAACGCATCTTTTGACCAATGGGTAAAATCATATATTAAATTGTGTAGATACTCCTCTGAGAAAACCAATGTTTCAAACCTCATGTCTCTATCATAATCTGTTCAAAAGTTATTGGAGTTTTTACCCTTGTAGGACGGCAAAGATTAGGGTCACGGTAACTAAATCAATGGAGGCCAGTGAAAAAAGCCAGGAAAATAGCATTGAATCAGCTAGGCTGGATGCTCTCCAGAGTTAAGGCTAACTGACAGGCTCAAAGTTGAACTCATCATCTGTCTTCTCCAATCAGGAGGACATAAAACAACATAGAGGTATGATAGATATGGATTTCGAGACATGACATGTAGTATTTTTGTATTTTAGTATACACTTTTCATATTAATGCGAAATTCCTGTTATTTTTTGAATATTTCTCATAAAAACAAGCGTATCTCTGTGAAATGTCAACGCGTATGGCTTTTCAAAGCTTACTTTATTATTTGCTAAGCCTTTTTT